GTTGTGCAATGCCACAGAGGTCAGAAGAGGGCTTTGGATTCCCCTGGAACTGTGAGTTAAGGATGGTTTGTAGCCGCCATGTGGGTGCTGGAAATCAAACCCGGGTCCTCTGCAAGAGCAGTCAGTGCTCTTAACCACTGACCCATCTCTCCAGCTCCCCATTAGCTTTTTAAAAAATATTACTTTTATTTTATGTGTAAGAGTATATTGCCTGGATGTGTGTAAGCGTACCTGTGTCATGCAGTGTTGGTGGAGGCCAGAAGAGGGTGTCGGATCCCCTGGAACTGGAGTTAGAAGTGGTTGTTAGGCACTGTGTGGGTGCTGGAAATCAAACCTGGGTCTTCTGGAAGAACAGCAAGTGTTCTTAACCATTAAGCCATCTCTCTAGCCCCTACTGTTAACTTTTAAACAAACCAGCCTCTAGAAGTATGATCCCACAACCGTAGTGTTACCTTCTGCCATTCTTTTTTTTTTAATATAAAGTTCTTTACTGTTTTATATCTTGATGTGAGTCTTACTAGAGCATGTTTTTTAAGCCCGTTTATTTTGTTTCTTACACAAAGGAAGAAATGCACCAGAGAGTTATTACCTTATTCAGGGCTCCCTGATCCCTTGTTTGTTTATTTAGACTCAAGGAGCAGGACGTTCGTTTTTAATATTTATGGTTTTTTTGGGGGGGGCATTGACAGGGTCTCCCTCCCACCTGGAACTCACTATGTAGACCAGGCTGACCTCAATCTCAAAGAGATCTGTCTGTCTCTGCCCCCTGAGCACTGTTTGATATTTATAATAGTGCGTTTTCCTTGGTTATTTATGCCTGTATTCTCAAATAACATTCATTTACAGTCATTCAAGATTTGTGAGGCTTTCTGATTTCTTGGTTAAAGTCTAAAAATCCATGTATTCTGTGTTCAGGAGAAAATATAGTGAAAGGAGACAAGGAATCTATCAAGAACCTCCTAGAAATATTTGATGGGCTGCTGGAGTATCTTACAGAACATATCAGTGAAACATCTCTCAACAAAGGTAAGTTTAAGAATGGAGAGACTGAAAGTAGAACCTGGTGGTAAAGGACAAAGCCGTGAGTTCAGTCTCCAGCACCCAAATGAAAGTTTGGTTTGGTCTACATTTTGTTATTTCCTCCTGCCTTTTTAAAAAAGTCTAACAGCCACTCTATTAGTTAAAAATACGGAACACAGGCCTGGAGAGATGGCTCAGCGGTTAAGAGCACTGACTGCTCTTGCAGAGGACCCGGGTTTGATTTCCAGCACCCACATGGAGGCTACAAACCATCCTTAACTCCAGTTCTAGGGGAATCCGAAGCCTTCTTCTGACCTCTGGAGCATTGTGTGACACAAGTGCACTCACATACATGCAGGCAATACACTTTTACACATAAAATTTTTTAAAAGAACACATGGAGCTGGAGGGATGGCTCAGAAGTTAAGTGCACTGGTTGCTCTTGCAGAAGACTCGAATTCAAATCCCAGCACCCACATGGTGGCTGACAACCCACTGTAACTCAAGTTCCAGGGGATCCAACAGCCACTTCTGTCCTCCACAGGTATTGTGCGACGTGGGTGCACTTAACACACACCCAGGCATAACAAACATGACACATAAGATTTAAAAAATATGGAACACAGAGCCAGGGATGGTGGTGCACGCCTTTAATACCAGCACTTGGGAGGCAGAGGTAGATGGATCTCTGTGAGATCGAGGCCAGCCTGGTCTATATGAGTTCTAAGTCAGCTGGAGCTACAGGGAGACCCTGCCTCAAAACAGGCAACAACAACAAAAGCTAAAGAAAGCAAGACCCACTTTGTATATTTGCGTGTCATCCTTTCTCGGGGACCATATGATCTTCTCCGTGTCATTCCAATTTTAGCATGTGCTGCTGAGGTGAGCACCCCTTTTTGCCTTTTATCTTTTTGTTTATATTCTTTTTTCATTTGAGATAAGATCCCATACTGCAGCCCAGGCTGGCCTCTAATTGGAAGTTATCCTGTCTCTGCCTCCTAAATGCTGAGGTTACAGGATGTCAGCCATCACTCTCAGCTTGCCTAGTTTTTTTAGGAAGCAGAATCACCAATACAATATACCTGGCAAATTTAATGAAAAAGTTTCAATTCTTTCTGTTCTAAGTTCTAACAAATGATCCTAGAGCCTCCTGTTAAGCTCCTGTTAGCTTGGATGTGGCTTTTAAATTACTTTACAGCTAAATTTCTGCCAAATTATTTATTGTCCTATTATTATATTAAATGTCTTCCAAAATTTCCTGTCAGAACTGCCATTTTATATTAAGTGTGGATGTTACTGAGGTATCAGCAAGAAGAACTGATGTGTCTCTCAGCCTTACTGACATTTCCTAACAGTTTGAATGTTTTAAAAAATAGTTTGTGTGTATGAGTGTCTTACCTGCATGTATGTAAGTGCACTTGTGTTGTGCAGTGTCTGTGGAGGACAGAAGAGGGTGTCAGATCCCCTAGAACTTGAGTTATGGATGATGATTGGCTGCCATATGGGTGCTAGCAACTAAACATGGGTCCTCTGTAAGAGCAGAGCTCTTAACTGCAGAGCCATCTTGAACCCCCCAGCCTGAATGAATATTTTCTTACCTTATTCTTGAGTAACTCAATTCAAATTTATCATGTGAAGTGTTTTTTTTTTTTAAAAATGATCAGTATTGCCATATATTATTTGAAAAGGATTATGGTTATTTAAGCTCCATGAATATGACCTAAGAGCTATTTTCTCATGTTTGATAAATTCTGTATCTAGGAATATATCCTAAGGAAATAATACAGAAGAAATTTAGGTGCTTGAAATTCTCCCTTACATTTTTCTTTATAATTATGAAAAAAGAAGCAGTATTTTTGGGGTGGAGTATCATGTCATCCAGACAAGTCATAAACTCACTTTGCAACTAAGGATGACCTTGAATTCCTAATCCTCCTGCCTCCACCTCCTAAGTGCTAGGATCACAGGCATGCACCACCAAGTCTAGCAAGAAACTGTAGCTTAAATGATTACAGAGTATATAAATAATACTACTGTTCATGGATGAAATAATGTATAACCTGTCCTTATATTGCAAAGTTAACCCAAAGAAGTTTTAATAGTAATAGATACAAATTCTAATACATATAAGCAGTAGTACAAGCAGTAGTAATAGATACAATGTCTAATACAAATTAAAACAAAAAATCTGAATTAGCTCATCCTCCTAATTCACCCATTGTTAATGGTGCGATGTGCTATGACTAACATTTAAAATCAATCTATAGAGACTTTTAATCAATTTCTGTTGAAAAAATTTTAAAGCTGTAGATAAAATCTGAAAAGTGTGCCACACTGGAAATGTTTTTATTTCAAAAAATCTTGAGTGTAATAAGTGTTAAATGCTAGTCCGTGTACTTTGGGAGGTTGAAAGCTGCATGTCATGTTTACTGTTTCAAAGAAACCTCTTAAGTCAGGGAGATGGCTGTAAATCCATGCAATAAAAACATAAAAGGAATTGGGGAGAGTATTGAAAGTGACAGACAAGTAGAACACACCTTACTCAGGGCTAATGGGTATTTGGATGTACTGTGCCTTTTTTGTCTTTGATACATTTGTTATTACATTTTATTTGTTTTTTGTGTGTGTATGGACATACCGGTGCCACAGTACATGTGAAAGCCAGACGGTAACTTTGGAAGTTCATGAGCTCCTTCCAGCAAGTGGTTCTCAGGGACTGAACTCAGGTTGTCATGCACTCAATGGCAGCACACACCTTTACTCACTGAGTCATTTTACTGGCCCTCTTTTGTCTTTTTAGAATCAAGGTGAAGAGGCTGAAAACTAAAGTGATTGGGATTACTTTGAAATGTTAACAGCAGTCTTTAGAATTTACTGCTTTGTTGCAGGGAGGTGGTGATGGTGCCTGGCTAATGATAGGGCAGTGGAGATGAGGCAGGAAGACAGAACTGAGAGCTCTTCATGTGAGTCAGATGGTTCAGTGCTAAGTTATACCTATCTCTGCTGTGTTATTGAAATTCTCTAAACCTACTTTGTTTCATACTATTTTGTTTTTGAGACAGGGTCTCCTGTAGCCACAGCTGGCCTTCAACTCCTAATCCTCCTCCCTTTATCTCCTGAGTGCTAGGATTACAGGTGTGCCCCACTACACCCAGTTCTAAACCTGTTTCCTTTATCTGAAGGTTATTGAGAAAGTTAAATAGGTATGTGTAGATAGTTTAGCACAGAATCTTGCACAGATTAAGTGCATAATCTTTGTAAAAAAAAAAAAATGCTATTGAGTCAGGCTTGGTTACGCACATCTTTGATCCTAGCACCAGGAGGCAGAGGTAGGCAGATCTCTGTGAGATTGAGGCCAGCCTGGCTCCACACAGTAAGTTCCAGGCCAGCGGAGTTACAGGGAGACCCTGTCTCAAAAGAACCAAAAAAAGGGCTTAGAGAGATGACTCAGCAGTTAAGAGCACTGGCTGCTCTTGCAGAGGACCCAGGTTCTAATCTCAGCACCCGTGTGTTGGCTAACTACCATCCTAACTCCAGTTCCAAGAGATCTAACATCCTCTTCTTCCGAGGGCATTGTGAGACACAAGTATACTTACGTATGTGCAGACTATACACTCATATGACGCCCTTTTCTGATTTCATTGTATGACACAGGTATACTTACATACATTCAGGCAATACACTGATACACATAAAATAAAAATAAAAAAAGACCAAAACCACAAAAACAAAACCCACTGTTGAAATGTTCCTTGGGGAATAAGGAGATAGAAAAATAAATGAAGGTGAATGTTTCAGGGAAATGGGCAGTATATACAGAGGGGCGAAGCTAATCAAGGAGGCTTTACTCCCCTATCTCTTGTAGTCATTCTGCTACTGGTGGAAGTATGTATTCCCATTTTGATGTTCGACAAATAAATAAAAGAAGGGAAGTTTTAGCCAAGCCATGATGTGGTCTCTTAGCCTAAGGTATAGGCTGGAACTTAGAGTTGGAACTTTGTTGACACAGCCATGATTGCCTTAGATATCCCTTACAGATGAAGAGGTGTGAATAATAAGTGAGCCTAGCTTTAAACATGGGGCTGGGTGGGACGAGGTGGTGCACACCTTTAATACCAGCAGAAGCCGGCGAATCTCTGTGAGTTCCAGGCCAACTAGGGCTACAGGGTGAGCCTGTTTCAAAAAGACCAAAAAAAGGGGATGGGGGGTTCTGGAGGGAGGCTCAGCAGGTAAGAGTACTTGCCGTACAAGCCTGATGACCTGAATTTAATCCCCAGGGCTACAGTAGAAGGAGAACACCAACTCCTGAAAGTTGTCCTCTGACCTCCCCTCCAGTGTTGTGGCCCTTGAGATCCTGCATGAGTCATGGCCCCCTGTCTGTCTCATCCTGTCTCTCTCATATACACATCCACAAATAATAGATTTTTTTGTTAAAAGCTGCAGTCAACTCTTGACTTTGGTTTGAAAGCAGTGTGCCTTCTACTTTGTTATCCTAAGTGAGTCATTATAGGTATGGCTTCCTTCTTTATAATTTCACTCTCATTCAGGACAGGCTGAGAGTGCTTCACTGTCTTTACCTCTCCCAGCAAAATAACAGTAGTAGTAACTTAAGAGTTCTTGATATTGTTTTTATCTTTCCTAAACAGGTGAAGGTGAACAGTACTTTAAAGACTCCCATGGAGAAGAACCTTTGGAAGAGCTAGAAAGTACAAAGGGGTCCAAATCATCAAGGAAAAGAGTTTCTTTTGGGAGGTAACATGCAATGTCTGTGAATTTCATCAAAACAAATACTTTCCATCTCCTAAAAATTAACATTTTTCTTTAGCCCAGTATACCAGGACCGTTCCCCTCAAAAGCTTATATTTTCTAACTTCTATTTTATACCTTCCTGAGAGAATTTTTTTTTTTTTTTTTTTTTTTTTGGTTTTTTTTTAGGGTCTCCCTGTAGCCCTTCTGACCTGGAACTCACTTTGTAGATCAAGCTGGCCTGGAACTCACAGAGATCTGCCTGCCTCTGCCTCCCATGTGCAGGGATTAAAGGCACACACTACTATGCCCAGCTCTTCCTGAGGGAATTTCAAGAACCTTGAAGAATACTTAATAATTTAGTGCTAATTCTCAATCTTATCTGATATTAGGGGCTGGGAGGTGGCTTAGTAGTTAAGAGCACTGACTGCTCTTGCAGAGGACCTGGGTTCGATTCCCAGCACCTACATGGCAGCTATGAGCCATCCTTAACTCCAGTTCTAGGGGAATCTGAAGCCCTCTTCTGACCTCCATGACATTGCACGACATGGGTGCTCTCACATACATGCAGGCAGTACACTCATACACATATAATAAAATACATTTTTTTAAAATGTGCTGAGATAAAAGATATGTGCTGCCACACTCAACAAATTCCTAATTTTTTGATGGTGCGTGTCATGGTTTGAAAAGCATAGGCAATGCCTTTTTTTAAAAAATATTATTTTTAGTTTATGTGTATGTGTATATTGCCTGCATGTAGATAAGTGCACCCATGTCATGCAGTGTCTGAGGAGGTCAGAAGAGGCTGTTGGATCCCTTGGGACTGGAGTTAAGGACAGTTTATATCCTCCATGTGAGTGCTGGGATTCAAAGCCGGGTCTTCTGCAAGAACTGTCACTGTTCTTAACCGCTGAGCCATCTCTCCAGCTACAGGCAATGCCTTTTTTAGGTGTAGTGCATTGTGACATGTGTTTCAAAGAATACTATCATGAAATTCTTTTTTTTTCCTTACTTTAAAAAAAATTTTTTCTTAATTTTTATTTTATGTATGAGTGTTTTGCTTGCTGGTATGTAAATGCACCCATGTCATACAAAACCCACAGAGGCCAGAAGAGGGCATCAGAGCCTCTGAAGCTGGAGTTATAGATGGTTTTACCTGCCATGTAGGTGCCAAGAATCAACTTGGGTCCCCTGGAAGAGCAGTACACTTAACCACTGAGCCATCTCTCCAGCCCCCTTCCACTTGATTTTTGAGACACTGTTTGATTCTCTATACCAGGTTGGCCTAGAACTCACTACATAGCCAAGGCTGGCCTCCAAATCATAGCCGTCTGTTTGCTTTGGTCTCCCACTGCCAGGATTACAAATATGTGTCACCATGTCTAGCTCAAGAAATTCTTGACTTTTTCATTATTAGACTTAAAAACAAAACCAAAGCCGGGTGTGGTGGCGCACGCCTTTAATCCCAGCACTTGGGAGGTAGAGGCAGGTGGATCTTTGTGAGTTTGAGGCCAGGCTGGTTTAGATAGTGAGTTCCAGGACAGTTGGGGCTACAGGGAGACCCTGTCTCAAAAAGGAAAAAAAAAAAAAAAACCCACCCCAGAACCCCACCCCCCCAAAAAACAACTAAACACAAAACAGTCTTATGTAACTGAGGCTGATGTAAAACTTACTATTATAATTGAATTTGTAATTCTTTTGCATCTACCTTTCAAGTGTTGGGATCACAGGCATGCAGAACTAGGCCCAGTTTTATGCAGTTCTAGGAGTCAAACCCAGGGCTTTATGCATGCTAGGCAGTCACTGTGCCAACTAACCTATACCTCTAACCCTCAGGAATAAAGTAAAATTAATGTCCCACCTAGAGTCCCCTGTCCTGCAGCTGTAGATTCACCAGTGTTTACCTCTCTGTATTTGCCTATCCATTTAATCCTTGGCTTTTTTTTTTTTTTTTTTTTTTTTTTTTTTGACAGGGTCTCCCTGTAGCTCCCTGTTGTCACAACTGGCCTGGAACTCATTATGTAGACCAGGCTGGCCTCGAACTCATAGAGATCCACCTGCTTCTGCTTTCTGAGTGCTGGGATTAAAGGCATGTGCTACCATGCCCAACTTATCCTTGACACTTATACACAGCAGTCAAAACAAAACAGAAAGCAGTAAAACGGAATCTTTCTATGCTGGGAATCAAATCCAGGGTCTTGAGCATAACAGGCAAGTGCTCTACTACATCTCTAGCCCCAGTCTTCAGTTTTCTGTACTTAGGAATGAGTGTTCTGGATACCTGTAGGCTGGTGTTTGAAATAGCTCTCAGTAGTCACACCCGGCCATAGTGAATAGAGGCCTTTTTCAGGTCCTCCTCATTTGATGCTTTGGGCCCTTCCTGGGATGAAGATGAAGATGAAGATGAAGATGAATCCGTGGGTGAAATAATTAGACTTGGAGACACAGCACATACGTTTTCCCTAAGAAGTAATGGTGAGTAGACAAACTTTAAATAGCATTCAACATAAAACTACAAAAGTAATTACAGTTTAAAATCAAGTTGAATAGAGCCCTAATTATACAACAGCGTTGAAATCCCAGAATATGACCATTATCCAGTAAATATGAACCGCTATCTAAAATTACAGGTATGTGGGAATCACAGGCCCACAGACAGGTTAGTCCAAGGCAAGTAGGTGCATGCAAAGTTGTAACATAATTTGTGGAACCTTCCGACTGAAGAAGAAAATTCTAGATGCAGCTTTGAGTCTAGTCATATTTTCAGAGTACTCATTTTCAATTTCCTGAACTAGTTCACTCACCTTTTTACAGTTTTAACTAACAAGTTCATACTTTGAGTAGCCGTTTTTTCCACAAGATTTCAGCCATATTTCCAGCAATCTATTACACACTGCAGAGATGAGTATCTCCTGGACCCCGGTTTGGGGCACTGTGCCCTTCACCAGCTACCCTGCCCCTGTCTTACCCACTTCAGTTGCTATTCTTCTCTGCTGTACTGTTCCACCAGCTGGAGTGTTCTTCCTTCCTGTTCCTGGTAGACTTACCCTCCAGTGCCCAGCCTTCCCCACCTGTATCGGGCTCTAAGACTCTGTGTTCCTGGGGCGTGGCCTTCTCTATTTCTGCAACACCATTCAAACACTGCGTGGAAAATTACAGTTTGTTATGTAAACTGTGAGTTCCTGGGAAAGTAGGCAGGTCATTCTCATGCAGCATATATTGATTCAGTGCCTTCCCCATGCCCAGCAGTGGTGATAGAGTGAGAAACAAAACAGATAGAAAGCCTCCCTTCATGGGGTTTATGGTCTAGTTGTGAGGGTTACTGATAAAGAAGATAAATGGTAGGATGTATAGTAAAATTATGGGTGATCTTGGGTGACCTTAGTCTTTCAAAAGTTAGTAAAACATGCCAGGCATGGTAGTGCATGCCTTTAATCCCAGCACTTGAGGCAGAAGGATCTCTGAGTTCAAGGCCAGCCTGGACTACATAGTGAGTTCCAGGCCAGCTGGGGCTATAGGGAGACCCTGTCTCAAAAAGAGAAAAAAAAAAAAAAAAAAATTAGTAAAACAAAAGCCACAATAAGTGGCATTTTTCATTTTGAGACAGGGTCTTTCTTTGTAGCACCACTGGCTGGAACTCAGACATCTGCCTGCCTCTGGAATGCTGAGATTACAGATGGGCTCTATCATGTCTGGCTATAAGTATGTTTTTGAATGGAAGGATAAGAAGACAAGTGTGGAATTAGGCACATTAAATTGAGTGGCCTTCATTTTCAAAACTACTGGCTGTGAGACTTTGGAAGAGGCCCTTTTCTGAGTTTGAGTTTCTTCAGTGTTAAATGAGAGAATTGGACTAAACCAACTCTGTAGTCCTTGTCATTATTAATACTTTGCTCCCAAGAGGTAAGTGCTCTGTTCTAGGGAATAATGTTTGAAGAACCTAAGTCTGAAGATGAGGCAGCAGACCAAGGACAGGATGGAAGGGTATTGGTTCTAGAAATGAATTGGTTCTAGAATTGTATGATACCAAATGCCATGTACAAAAGTACAGCTGCAGAACTGAATTGCCATTTGGGATGGTTAGTTTTCATTGTCAATGTGATACAGTCTAATTTCACCTGGTAAAGAGGAGTCTTAATGAAGGATTGTCTAGGTTAGGTTGGCCTGTGGTGTGTCTGAGGGGTGGGTTATCTTGATTGCCTTAATTGAGGTGAGACAACTACCGTGATGTGGGCAGCACCATTTCATAGGTTGGGCCCTGGACTGAATGAAAAGAGCAGGAAGCATGCAGGCATTCCCTTAAATTCCTGTCTTGACTTCCCTGAAATGAAATGATGTAATATTTGTAACCTGAAATTAGAAGCTGACTAAATCCTTTCTCTCTTAAAACTGCTTTGGTTTGGGTATTTTATCATAGCAACAAGAAATGAAACTAAGATACCGTTTGAACTTTTGAACTCTTGTGACTAAAAAATCTGAAGTACTCCAAAATTTGAAATATTTTGAGTACTGACATGCCACAAGTAGAAAATTCCATACCTGGGGCCAACCAAATGGCTCATAGGGTAAAGGTGCCTCTGCTAAGCCTGACACCCTGAGTTCAATCTCTGGGACATACATAGTAGGAGAGACCTGGCAAGTTGTCATCTGACCTTCACATGTGTGCCATGGCATGTGTGTACTCTCCGACCCTACTCACAGAAATAAAAACTTAAGAGAGTTGAATAGGGAAATGGGGATAAATATATTTCATGGTAAACATGTATGGAATTCTAAAGAATTAAAGATAAAATTCCACAGCTGCCCTCTGTGACAAGTTAGTCTAAGTGCAGAAGCCTTAAAAATACTGTAGGCTGTGTGTTAAGGTGTCTGTGGAACTAATGAAAAGTTGGATCCCACCCCTGAGATCATTTCTACACGCAAATACTTCCAAAATCCAAAGCATTTCTGGCACCAGGCATTTTAGATAGGGGATATGCAGTCTGTTTCAGATTATAGGCAGAACTCTAATTAATACAATTAAGGCAAAGGAGAAAGAAATTTAAAAATTAAAAATGATTTTTTAAGTAAAAATTAGGCCAAGAAGAAAAGGGGAAAAAATGTCTGGGCATGGTCTTTGGGTTTCATATGATAAAAAGCCTTACGGCAGCTTCCGTCTATATTTAAAATGTTAGGTAACTGTCATACATGCTCACATGCATCTAATTTAGGCTTTAATTTCTGGACTATGATTTCTTTATTGTGGAAGTAGCCATAATCCCTAACTCATGTTACCTCTTCATACCCAGATGCCCACAAAATAGCAGTTCTATAATTCTGGCAAAGAATGGAACATTGAACAAAACTGCTTTCAAGTTATATACAGAATTTACCTTGTACTATGATGGTTATTTGAGTGATTGATAGGAGCAATTGAGATAACATTATTCTTTCAACATTATCTTGTTCTGTTTTGATAGTTAAAAATTTTATGTCTAATATTTTCTTTCCTAGGTGCTCAAAATTCTATGGATGTGCACTTTAGAAAAACCTCAGCCTCACCTAGTACTAAGCCACATGAGGAAGTGATCCACCCCCCATGTAGTTTTCTGTCCAAGACTGGGACATTTGTTGAAGACAGTGAGTTGTAATAGGATATTTGGTTTTTGTTGGGGGGGGGCGGGGGTTGGTCTTTTTGAGACAACTTGCTATCTAGACCAGGCTGGCCTTGTCTGCCTCCCGAGCTTGGGGATTAAAGGCGTGCACCACAAGCCCAGCACTAGTTTTGTTTAGAATAAAAAAGAAATGTATGAATGTTTGTATGCCTGTGTGAGTTTATGTGCATTATGTATATACAGGTGCCCTGGGAGGCCAGAGGGTATCAGATCCCCTGGAACTGGAGTGGTTATGAGCCCTTGTATGTGGGTACTGGGATCCAAACCCAGATCCTGTCCATAAGATCAGCTTTCAATTGCTGGGTTGGGGAACAACTGTTAGTGCCTAGGACAGTTGGTATTTTCAGATTATAGGTAGAGAAAGTAATCAATACAGTGGATTACAATACAAAAGCTTTTACTGTTAGCTTTTTTACTTCTGTTCCTCTGTACTTTGAGATTCTTTAAATATCTTTATTCTTTGAGAATTTTATACAAGGTATTTTGATCAAATTTAACCCTGCAATCCTCTCCCTAACTCCTCCCAGGTCTACCCTATCTCCCTACCTACCCAACTTTCTGCGTTTCTCTCTCTCTCTCTCTCTCTTTCATTTTTAAAAAACCCATCAAGTGCATTTTTTGTTGCCCATATACTCTTGGGTGTGAACAATCCCCTGGAGGGTGGTCAGTCCATAAGGGACACTGCCCTTAAACTGACTCCTTCTCTCAGCAACTCTCTGCCAACAGCCCCTCCACTAGGGATGGAATGTTGTGCCCACCTCCCCACTCCATGCTGTGACCTTTTCTTATACATTTTTATTACATTTATTTATTGTGTATGTGCATTCGTGTTTGTGGGTACACATGTCATGGCACGTGTGACGTCAGAGGATAACTTGTGGAAGTTCATTCATCTGCCAGATGGGGACTGAACTCAAGTCATTAGACTTGGCAGCAAATGCCTCTACCCGCTGAGACATCTCACCAACCTTTTTGTTGGTTTTACACGATCTTATTTGCTCTCAATTATGAACTCTGACTCTGCTGAAATGATCTTCGGTCACATCTTTTTGCATGCATTATTATTTTAGTGCTCTTCTCTCAAAGACTTTTTAAAGGACAATAAAGATCTCTGAAACATTTGTATACCAGTTGATGGTCATCAACTCATTAATGAATGACAAAATGTAACTTTAAAATACTCTAGTTTGGGGCTGGAGAGATGGCTCAGTGGTTAAGAGCACTAGCTGCTCTTGCAGAGGACTTGGGTTTGGTTCCAGAGCACTCACATGGTGACTCACAGCTGTCTGTAATTTCAGTTCCAGGGGACCCAATGTCCTCTTCTGGCTTTCTTGGACATTGCACACATGGATGCACATAATACATGCAGGCAAAACACTCATGAACATAAGCTAAAAAGAAAGACATTTTTTAAAACTTTAAAAAACACTCTAATTTCTTATTCTTGTTTTCTTGTGAGTTTTTTTGTTTTGCTGTTAGTTTCTTGTTTTTCTTACTAAATTTTATGAATCCATACAAAATATTGCAGATCAATGTATTTTAATCATCACCCTCCTTTTCTTCATCCTGGTTAATTTGGAAGTAATATAATTCATAATTCTCTTTGCTGTTAGCAGCTACATGCAAACAGCCACGTATTTTCCTTCCAATATTTTTTTGGTGAGGTATTTCAAATACCTTCTGGGAAAGGCACCCCAGAAGCTGCAGAGGTCTGCTCTTGCCCCTTTCAGTGGTCATACCTGTCACCTAGGTGCCCAGTTTTTCCCTTCCTTTGGATTTTCTCCTGGAGGAACTGTCTGAAATTGGCAGCATCTGTGACTCCATTGTCTATAGGCTGGGTACAGTCAAGGGTGAACTTCAAATCCTGCTGGGTCCCCCCTCCCTGCTTTCACCACAAGGTATTTTATGGGCACCACAGTGGCAGTGAAGATGGAAAAGAGTTGGGTTTTGAGGCTGGTTTCAAACTGGTAGGGAATTCTCCTCAGCCTCAGTGTTAGGATTACAGGTGTGCACCACCACACTTGGCTTCCATTCCTTATTATTTGTAGGATTTTCAAATATATTATATAAAGTCATTCTTAAATTATGGGTATGTGTGTATCTGTGTATGGGTATGTGCACAAGTACAGTGCCTTTGGAAGTCAGACAAGGGGAGCTGAGTTGTGAGTTACTGGAAATGAACTCAGGTTCTCTTCAAGAACTGTACTGGCTCTTAATAACTGAGCCACGTCTCTAGCCCCAGGTTTTTTGTTTTTTTGTTTTGTCTTTTTGAGACAGGGTGTCCCTGTAGCCCCAGCTGACCTGGAACTCACTATGTAGACCAGGCTGGCCTTGAACTCACAGAGATCTGCCTGCCTCTGCCTCTGGAGTGCTGGGATTAAAGGCATGTGCCACCACGCCCAGCTAACCCCAAGTTTTTTAACTACCAGATTCACTAATTTTATGTAGCTTGTCTTCAAATCATTAGATTGCACCCAACTTCTCATTATTTTTAAATAATTCTCAATAAATATAGACTAAAGGTGTGTACCACCACTCCTGGCTCCTAATATATATATTTTTTATGTGTATGAGTATTTTGCCTGCATGTATATAAGTGCATCCGTGTCAGATCCAGAAGAGGCCAGAAGAGGGCGTCAGATCCCCTGGAACTGGAGTTACCGATAGTTGTTAGTTGCCTTGTGGGTGCTGGGAATGGAACCCAGGTCCTCTGCAAGAGCAGCCAGTACTCTTAGCCTGAGCCATTTCTCCAACCCCAAGAAACATTTTTATGATATTAACATTACATTTATCCTGATTTAATCAGATCTCTACTTATTGACTAAACATGCTGCCTAATTAAATTATTTTGGTGTGTGATTTCTTAAAATTTTTATTTATTTATTTATTTTTTTGAGACAGGGTCTCAGTATTGTAGTTCAGGCTGGCCTTAAATGCATATTCCTTCTGCCTCAGCCTCATTATTTTTAAATAATTCTCAATAAACATTTTATATGTGTATATACTATAATTATATACCACACTATAATTATAAGTATGTGCTATCACATTTGGCTCATGTTCTTTGTTTTTAGGGTGTGTGTGGTGGTGTGTGTGTGTGTGTGTGTGTGTGTGTGTGTGTGTATGTATGTTACAGCATATGGCAGACAGAGGATAGCCTTCATAAGTCACATACCTCCTTCTACCATGTGGGCCCCAAGGATTGAATAAAGATTGAATCCTTGTTAAGCTAGGCTTCACAACAAGTACCTTTAGCACTGAGCCAGATCTTGCTGGCCCATGTGCTTTTTAAAATCAAGTTCAGAAATATTCCTAACCTGGGCATAGTGGCTCTCACCTGTAATTCTGGCACTTGGGAAGCTGGGGCAGGAGGATTGCTGTGCACAGTTTGAAACCAGCCTGGAGTATATAGTGACTTCTGGGTTAGTTAGCTGTAGAGTGAGACCTTGTTTCACAAACAAAACTGTGTATTCATTCCTGAACTAGGACTATAGCTCAGTGGAATGGAGCTTGCCTAGCACACATGAAGCCCTGAGTTTGACCCCTAGTATCACACACACACACACACACACACACACACACACACACACGGTCACTCTCATACACAAATTTCCTTAGTTTGTTTGAATGCTTGCATATTTGTAGTCCTCTTTTTTAGAGTTCCATCATAAGATCCATTTTAATATCTCTCAGCAGCAGAAACCCCTTCTGTGACTGTGGTTACAAGTGCCCGAAAATTAGGTGAACCTATCCGTGCAGCTATTCCTTTACACCCACCCTACCACCCTTCAGAGCCTCGGGCACCTTGCCCCGTAGGAAAAGAATACCATCGATCAAGCCTCTACACCTCTGCTGTGACTTCTCCTGGAGAGCACAGGGCACTTTCTTTGGTAAGTGGAAAGGCTTTCTCATAATTGGATAGAAGCCCATATATTGCTTATTTTCGGTGTTGGCAGTTGAACCCAGAGCCCTCACATATGCTGAGTACACACTCTCCCACCGATTTATGCCCCAGTCTCAGGAATCCATCTGTTTAAAGGTCTCTGCTAGAATGGTAGTCAAGTATATTACATTGATCAAATATTATGCCAGGCATGATGGCATATACCTATAATGTTGGCACTCAGGAGGGAGGTGAATCTCTCTTGAGTTTCAGGCCAGCCTGCTCCACAGGCTGGAGTCAAGTATATTACATGGATCAAATATGGCAGGCATGATGGCACATAACTAAAATGTTGGCACTCTGAAACAGGTGACTCTCTCTTGAGTTTCAGGCCAGCCTGCTCCACATAGTGAGACTCTTGCCTTTCAAAATAAATAAAATAGGGGGCTGGAGAGATGGCTCAGCAGTTAAGAACACTGGTTGTTTTTGCAGAAGATCCGGGTTCGAATACCAGCACCCACATGGCAGCTAATAACTGCCAGCTAATTACTCCAGTTCCAGGGGATCCGACAGCCTCTTCTGACCAGTGTGGGGATTGCATGACACAGGTGCACTTACCTACATGCAGGCAATACATGCATACACATAAAATAAAAATAATAAAATTTAAAAATAAATAAAAGCATTGTACTTCTTAAAATTTACCTCTATGGGGCCGGGGACATAACTCAATTGGTAGAGTGCCTACCTAGAGTGCACAGATCTCCAGCACTTTGTAGTCATCCCAGGGTGGTGCTCCATGCCTGTAATCCCAGCACTCATGATGTAGAGAAAAGAAGATTAAAAGTTCAAGGTCATTGTCGGCTACATAGTGAGTTTGAGGCCAGTCTAGACTACAAGAAACTCTGTCTTTAAAAAAAAGTTTCCCTCTGTTTCTTCCTGCATGTTTGTCTAAGCAGATAGGGGTAAAGAGAGCTAAAAAGGAGCACAGAGAGAATGCTGCTTTTTTTGCCAACCACAGTTCTGGGTACTTTCTAGGTATTGAGCAACTTAATTCTCAGACCAGTCCTAGAATACATTCTATATTCTCATGAGGAAGCTCAGATAGAGAAGTTACTACTTCTTGGAGGTTACATAGCAGAGTCAGAATTTGAGCACAGGCATAGACTTCTGGCTTCATATTGTATATCCCTAATTAAATAAGTTTTGAAGATGGCACGAAAGAACCGTCCACCTGTATTCCCACTGTCTGGTGTGAAGTGCTTTTACTATCGTCACCTACTAGTTTCTACTGTCCTTGAAAAAATAATTCCCTTTTTCATACAGTATCTTGTCCCTACCTCCCTGGAAAGAGCAGGCAGATATGTGTTAGAGTAAATCTATAAGCAACCATACATTCTCATCATTAAAAAATTCAAAAGATGCTAGAAAGGAAGGAAGAAATAAGCATCATTCACATTGTATGGCCATCAGTCTACACTTTATCTATTCAGATAAAAGAATGGATAGATTGAAAAAGAAGACAGCACTGAGTGTGGTGGCGCACGCCTGTGGTGGCACACGCCTGTAGTCCCAGCACTCAGAGGCAGGCAGATCTCTGTGAGTTCAAGGCCAGCCTGGTCTATGTAGTGAGTTCCAGGACAGCTGGGGCTACAGGGAGACCCTGTCTCAAAAAGACTGAAAAAAAATAGAAGACAGAACTAGTGTGATACTAGGATTCTGCAGAATCTCGGGGAGGTGGTTGACAGGAAGGATTCTGAGTTTTGGTAATATGCTGTTTCTTCACCTGGGTGGCAGTAGGTGGAATTACTCACTTTGAAGTCATTCATTGAACTGGACACATACTCCACATTAAAAATGATTTTTTAAAATGTGAGTATATTTACTATTTACTAAAAAATACCCAGTTAAAGAGAAATAAAGATACCAAAGTGAAATTGAAAATATAATCAAATACCAAATGAATGCTACTTTACAACAAGAAATATTTTCTAACCAGGTGTGGTGGCGCTTGCCCAGAGTCCCAGTACCCAGAGGCTGAGACAACAGGATTGAGTGTGAGGCTAAGCTGGGTTACCTTGTGAGTTCCATTCCAGCTGGGCTATGAGACCTTGTCTCCAAAGTGAGTAGGAGTGGGGAAGAGTCAAAGTAAATGTTTTCTGAAAGATTTCCTTTAAGGTTAAGAAATAAATTATGGGACTAGAGAGATGGCTTGGCAGTTAAGCACACATACTGCCTTTGCAGAGGACCAAAGTTTGACACCTACACACACACACACACACACACACACACACACACACACAAAAAGGGTTTATTTTGAGGAGTGTTTCTTCATTGTTTTGAGTATTTCAATTTTGGACAGTTCCTGTTAGCTTCTTGACATGAGAGAGAACTTGACTGACTACATTCCACATGAATTTGATAATTTTTTTATTGTTTATGTAAAATAACCACTATTCAGATAATCATAACTGCCTGGTGTAGTAACTCACGCCTTTAATCCCAGCACTCCAGAGGCAGAGGCAGGCACATCTATGTGAGTTCAAGGCCAGCCTGGTCTACCTAGTGAATTCCAGGCCAGCTGTGGCTACAGGTAGTAGACTTTGTCTCAAAAAGACCAAAAAAAAAAATCATAACTCCTGAATTTCATGCTTACAAATGTTTCACCTGCCTTTAGATTAGCCTGGCACCCTGAGCCATGCCTTTTCATTAAGCACATGTTGACAGACATTCCTCCAGTCCGTTGACATTAGGTGTCAAGGTGGTGTTTTGATGAGTGCATTTTTTTTTTTTTTTTTTTTTTTTTTTTTTATGTGTTTTTGTGAGTGCCTTTTTTTTTTTTTTTTTTTTTTTTTTTTTTGAGACAGGGTCTCCTCATAGCCCCAGCTGGCCTGGAACTCACTATGTAGACCAGGCTGTCCTTGAACTCACAGAGATCCACCTGCCTCTGCCTCCGGAGTGCTGGGACTAAAGGTGTGCTTCACCATGCCCAGCTTGAGGAGTACATTTTAAAAATAAACATGGATTTGGGATGGTGTCACGAGCCTATACTTGTCTCAGTACTTGTGATGCTGAGGCAGGAGGATTGCTTAAACATGAATGATGCCAGCCTAACAAGATAGCAAGAGCTGATTTCAAACAAACATGGAGGTTGAAGGAACTAGCTGTGTGCCACAGGTCCCCCAAGAATCCTATGTATCTTTGTGGCTTTTTCTTTCCTTTTTATTTTTTATGTGTGTGAGTGTATTGCCTACATGTGTGTAAGTGCACCCATGTTGTGCAGTGCCCATGGAGGTCAGAAGAAGGCGTTGGATCTCCTGGAACTGGAGTTACAGTTGTTAGCTGCCATGTGGGTGCTGGGAATTGAACCTGGGTACTCTGCAAGAGCAGTCAGTGCTCTTAACCACTGAACCATCTCTCTAGCCCTTTCTTTCTTTTTTAATTGATTTTTATTTTGTATGTATGAGTGCTTTGCCTCCATGTTTATAAGTGTACTCATGTATGTAATGCCTGTGGGAGCTAGAAGAGGGTGTTGGAATCCCTGGAACTGTAGTTGTGGATGATTGTTAGTTGCCATCTGGGTGCTTGAAGCAAACCCAGGTCCACTAGCAGTGAACCAGCTAATGCTCTTAACTACTGAGCCAACTCTCGAGCCTGCCCTCCCCCTTTTTAAAGATTTAATTTATTTGGGTATAGGGGGTGAATGTGTGTCTATGGATCCCCACAGAGGCTAGAAGTCATTAGATCTGTTAGAGCTGGAGTTACAGTAGCCACAGCCGGTCTGAAACTCACTGTGTCAACCAGGCTGGTCTCAATCTCACAGAGATCTACCTGTCTCTGCCTCGTGAGTGCTTAGGATTAAAAGCCTGCACCATCATGCCTGGTTTCAAACCACCTTTTATGTGTATGAGTGTTTGCCTACTATGTGCACCATGTATATGCCTTGGTGCCCATGGAGGCCAGAAGAGGGCATTAGATCCCCTGGAACTGTACTTAACAGATGGTTGTAAGCCACCATGTGGGCGCTGGGAACTGAACCTAGTTTCTCTGTAAGAACAGCAAGTGCTCTTAAATCTCTCCAGCTCCCAAATCAACTTTTTTTTTTGTGTGTGTGTGTGTGTGTGTGTGTGTGTGTGTGTGTGTGTGTGTGCACATGCACATGTAGGCCAGAGGTCACCCTTAGGTGTCATTCCTCAGGAGTTGTCCATCTTGTTAGGATTATCTCTCACTGGGACTGGAGGTGCTGATTAGGCTTGGCCAGTGAGTTTCAGAGGTATGCCTATCTCCCCAGTGCTGGAATTATAAGTGTATACCACCATGCCTAGATTTTTATGTGGGTATTGGGAATTGAACTCAGGTCCTCATGTTTGTACAGCAAGCGCTTTACTGGCTGAGCTATCTCCCCAGTTCCTCAAGCCAACCTTTTTCTGTTCATAGGAACCAGATAATAAAGCTGTCCTAACTTCTACATTATCTAAAGATGACGAACCAGAAACATGTCTATCTCTGCCTCAAAGCCCTAGGACAAGGAAGCTTCCTAAAGGAAAAAGGTAATATTGCTATAGACTTCAGTGTTTACAGTCTATTTGTAAAGGGCTTTGGAAAATAAAGAGCGCTGGTGAGATAGTTTAGTGGTAAAGGCACTTGCCACCCAAGCCTGGACACTTGAGTTTGATGTTTGGAACCCATGTAAAGATGGACGGAGAGAACCAACTTCACAAAGTTGTCTCTGACCTCACATACTCTGTGGCACCTCTACCCCCATACTAATAATTTTTTAAAAAGAGTATACTTTGCAAATTTAGCTTTGGAAACCAGTATTAGTCATTCTGAATTAAGTATGTACCTGGATAGGTAATTGTCATATGGCTACTTTCATTACAGAAATGAAAACAGAGCTGTAGCTTCCTCAAAGGATTCACCTTTACCTGAGAAGGCAAGAAAGGGGCTAACAGCACAGGAGCTTCATGAAGTGTCAGAGAAACTCTCTCAGCGGCTCTCTGAGCTAGACTGGGCAAGTCTTGTTTTTAAATATCTGTTGCAATTTCTGTGGTTAGTGAGCATTTCATTGGAAGCCGCTGATCTGCCCCAGTGGAAGATGTAACCTATGCATAGGTACTGGAAACTGAGTTGTGGCTTGGGTACTATTTAAATGTTCCAAAAGTCAAGCAGGAAGGACAAAACCAATGGCGTCTTAAGCTTTTCATGATATAACCAAATATGGCACAGATTTATCTAAGTTTTACTGAATTCTGATGAAAATGGAATCAATAATTATGTTAGGCCGTTTATTTCTGTGCCTATACACCTTTGTTACTAAAGACAGATACTGGTATAAAATTGGATGGATCACAGGTTCTCAAAAAATGCAGTGGGGTAACAACATGAATGGATATGTTAAATCTGTCACTAACGTTCACTGAAGCTGAATGGTCTGTAACACTGATACCCACTCTTTTTGTTATTGCTTCTCTCTTTTTTTTTTTTTCAGACAGGGTCTCACTATGTAGCCCTAGATGGCCTGGAACCTAGCCTATAAATGTCACAGACATCACTGTCTGAGATTCCAGCATCTGGGAGACTGAGACAGGAGGCTCTTGAGGTCCTGGCCAGTTTGGTCTACACAGCGAAATCCTATCTAGGATAAAACAAAAAAATAATTAAATGAAATAAAATAAAAACTAAATGTATAGGTATCTAAAAGCTTATTAGTGACTGTCAAAACTTTTTAGAAGGTCTGCTCTTTATTACCAAATTATACATCCTGCTTTGAAATCAGTGAAAGTTGTTGAAAGGGATTTTCTCAATAGATGTTAAAAAATGCTCTGGGTGATCGAATAAAAGCTAAGACTGACCATAAAGATGGCAACACCGGGGATGAAGAGGTGGAGAGTGGACATGAGGAGATCCTGTCTCAGCACAGTGACAGCATCATGGAGTATGGGCTGAAGAAACCTAGGCCAGGTACTTAGCAGAGAGGCCTAGAACAGGCAGCTCCTTGTGCTCATGACTTTCTCATTTTATGTAAGGATCATAAAAACACTGAAGTTGGTATTTCTTTCCTACCACTATCCTTATACTGTCAGAGCTTACACAGTACTTGTCTAAATATATACTATTGCTTTCTTTTTTAAAATTTACATACTGTGTATATTCTATAAGTTGCTTTATTCTGTTTTGTTGATAAAGATCAGCTCATTTTAGCTGCTATGTAGCTAAATTCATAGTGTGCCCTGTTTGTTTTTATTTTATGTGCATGAGTATTAGGCCTGCATGTATGTATGTAAGTGCACCTGTGTCCTGTAGTGCCTCTGGAAGCCAGAAGAGGGTGTTGGGTCCCCTGGAACCGGAGTTAATGGATGGTTGTTAGCTGCCATGTGGGTACTAGGAATTGAGCCCAGGTCTTCTGCAAGAGCAGCCAGTGCTCATAACCGCTGAGCCATCTCTCCAGCGCCATGTGCCCCATTTGTATAAACATGCATATAACTGCCCATTAGAGAAGAATTGAGACTACTTCGACAATGCTTAGCCACATTAATTTTTGCTTTCAACATGCTGCTTGTAAGTATTTATAAGGTATGTGTGTGTTTACATTCCATTTTCAGGACCTAGACAGGTAAAAGGCTAGCAGACACAGCCCAGATGATTTACATTTTCTCCTTTCCTCTGTTCTCCCCATGACCAAGGGCACATTCCATAGAACTTTGTGTAGTATGTATTTCACATGTTGAATTCAATCCAAAGTAGAATGTATAGCCTAAGTACTTGTTTAAACAGTAAACATTTTAAGTGTATGTGTGTGTTTATTGTGTAAGGTCATGTGGATGTGTACACATGGAGGGGTGCATGTGCATCTGTATGCACATGCATGTGGAGGCCAGAGTTCAACATCAGGGCCTTCTTCAGTTGCTCTTTTTGAGACAGGGTCTCTTACTGAATCCTGATTTGGCTGGCATTGAGTTCTGCACCCTTAACAGTAGTTACAGATAGACACTGTCACAGCTGTTTTTTTGCATGGGTGCTGGGTGTCTGAACTCAGGGCTTCATGCTTGTGCAGCAAGCACTTTACCTCTCCTGCCCCTAACAGTCCTCATTTATGTATGTGTGTCTGTTTGGTATGACTATACGTAAAATGACATTAACTTGTCATTTTGATTCTTTCTGGATTTGATAAGAACCAACTGTTTGGTTTCTAGTTTAACATTTCTGACTCTTAGGAACTTATGATAAATGGTTTTTCTATGTTGCAGAACTTTCCATGTTCAGAAAGCCACCTTATAGGTCCCATTCACTGTCTCCATCTTCAGCAAACAAACACAAACAATTACAGACAGAGAGAAGAAGGCAGTGCAAGGCAAAAGGAACAGATATTCTCCACTTCCGAGCAAAGGTACGTCCTCCTTTCCTGACTACTGTTGGGTAGCAGGTGATACCGTATCCCCTCAAATTAGATGCTACAGTGACCTTCATGCCATTGACCAAAGGTCTAAAGTGTGTTCACTATGCGTTGAGTTGAATGGATGGCAGAAGAGTTATGTGATCTAGCGTTATGCTCCCATTAGGGAACAGAAAATTACAGTCATGAAATTATCAAGATAACTTGGTCAGTGTTCAGTAGACTTAAGAAAGAAGAAGGCCATGCGGGTTGAGATTTTCAGACAGATCTTCAAAGGTAAAGGGAATTAGGGTGGATTAAATGTAACGAGTCACTTGTATTATAGAGAAAATGAGAAAGTGCTCATTAGAGGATGTGGCGGGGCTCCATCAGAGACTGGTATGATTACCAAGGAAGATTCTGCTGTGGAACAGAGATTTTGAAATGCATGAATTTAGAACACTTAGTTGTTTACAGTGAAAACTGGAGTTAATTCAGATGTCTTAAAATAGTGATACTCAGGGGTTGCTGTGCAGGTTGGAGGACCTGAGTTTCACCCCCAGGTTCAGTGAGAGACCTTTGTTTCAGAAAAGAAGATGGAGAGTGATTGATGAAGACACAAGTACATATACACACACGTGTACACAAGCATACACAGTTAGGATATAACTTCATAACTTTCACTCAGAGGAGTATCATAATGATGACAAAAACCTGTGAGAACAGCCATATCTGTTAGAACATGTATTTATAAAACAGCATAAAAAACTTCTAGAATGGTGAATGAACTTGACATTTTTAGGGTAGGAGTCTAGATTATTTTTTTCTCTTCATCTGAACTTGTATATGTTTTTTTAGCAACTATACTATTATATGACCTTATTTTTTCTAGGCATTAACAGAAGCATTTGAAAGGGAACTTACTAAAAATAAAGTTCAAGAGAACATTGGACTTGGAGGGACAAATGACGACAAGGAGGAACCAGTGGGTAGAAGTCTCCGCTGTAATAAGTGTCACTTGATCAGATCAGTGAAAAATACAGATCATCTTTTTAAAAGAAGAAAACCAACAGGGCCTGGGTTATTAGCTTTGCTTTTAGGAAAGGTGGGGTTTCAGTTCGTGACATAGAGTTTCCTTTATTTTGGGACTAGTCAAGCTGCTTAGATACAGCCAGAAATGGTACCAAAGAAGTCTAGTGTTTTTCTTTCTGCCTAAAACTTTCTTTGGCCTTCAAAGGTTTTTACTTAACTTAATAATGAGTTAAAATATGATGGAGACATAGACAAAGGAGTAAGGGAAATAGGAACCCAAGTGCTCTGTACATACTGTGAGAAACTCTGAGCCTGTCAAAAGATGGTTAGTGAAGGGGCTGGAAATATGGCTTAGCAGTTAAGAGTGCTGGCTGCTCTTACAGAGGACCTGGGTTCAATTCCCAGCACCCACATGGTGGCTAACAACGATCCATAAATCCAGTTCCAGGGGACTCCAACGATTTCTACTGACCTCTGTGGGCCTTGCACAACATGGGTGTACTTACATACATGCAGGCAATACACTCATACACATAAAATAATATTTTTCTTAAAATTTGAAGAAAGCCGGGCGTGGTGCTGCATGCCTTTAGTCCCAGCACTTGAGAAGCAGCGGCAGGCGGAGTTCAAGGCCAGCCTGATCTACATAGTGAGCTCCGGACAGCTGGGACTACAGGGACCCTGTCTCAAAAGACCAAAAAAAAAATTAGAAATAAGGTGGTTTGGCTAAAGATACCAGCTATTTTTGTCAATATGCAACGTTGAGATGATTGTATAAGAGTTGTTAGACCTCTTTCTTACTCCTGTTTTACATCTGCCTCTAAGGAAAAAATATACCAAGAAGTGATTCCTAACAGAACTCCAAAACGTAGTCAGCCCCAGAAGATTTACTCCAGGAAAACCACAGCTCAGAGTCCAAAAGGTGGCCTCTTGAAGTCAAATAAAACAGCTCCAAGTAAGGACCACAAAATTGTGCTTTGTGGAAAACTGGCATCCTTTGAAAGAAAGCGCTCATTATCACTGCCGTATAGGCTAGTTTTCTGTAGAGAACTAAATTCTTAGATGTGAAACATCTACAGAGTCATCTGTGGAACTAAAGGAATGCCAGGCCATGCCAGTGCTCCAGGTTGAGCCTCTCTGTTCTCTTGGTCTGCTTGCCTTTTTTGGTTGGTTGGTTTCTGGGAATTTAGCAGGCGATGCACCAAGGCAAGCAGATGGCTGCCCAGCCTCTGTAGGCTGGACAGTTGGTGCCAATGGGTTAGAGCCTCAGTGTGAGGAAAGGAGGTCAGGAGAAATGCCAGGCTTCCAACTAGGCTCTGTAAGAGCCTTTTTCTTCCAACCATATGCCTCCCAGAAAGGCTGAAGACTCTTCTGTTTTCAAAGTGAAGCTTCTATCCACAGGCACTGAGGCAGCTCAGTAGTTAGAATGGACTCGTCAGGACTAGCTAGTCTGAACTATCCAGCTTGTCTTCACCCTCAACAGTAGTTGGCTTACTCTGATCAAAGGAGGAATGTAAGAGTAGCAAATACATTTGGAATGGCTCTTTTTGGGGTCAGCATAATGCTGTCAGGGAGGGTGAGGGTTCTCATCAAGTGGTCAGACTATGAGCATCTCATGTTTTTCTGCAGTAAAAGTCAGTGAACACAGTCTCCTGCCCCTTATGCTGGAGTACTTTCCATTTCTCTATGTGTCTGACCCAACACTAACCAAAATGTGGAAACAGCAAATTGCACAGGTTGAACAGCTCAAAAAAGAGGCATATAGAGAAAACCACTCCAAGAAGAAATTCCAGGATGAAGTAAGTTACTGTCCTTTTGAAGTGTGAGAATATAAACCAGACGGGGAGGGCTTGAAGAGCAGCATTAACCTTCTTGCCTTGTGTCCCCCTTAAAGATAGAAGAATCCCTGAAAAGGCATGACCTCCTCACTGCCCTTGGCAAGAAGGAGTATGAGCAGAACAGGAGACTGGTATGTCAAGAACAAGCTGGGAAGTACAGTTTTGTGGGTTTTTTTTTTTATTTGATCTTTTTGAGACGGTCTCCCTGTAGCCCCAGCTGGCCTGGAACTCACTATGTAGGCCAGGCTGGCCTTGAACTCACAGAGATCCACCTGCCTCTGCCTCCCAAGTGCTGGGATTAAAGGCGTGCACCACCACGCCCAGCGGGAAGTACAATTTTGAGCTTAGTAGTTAGACTCTTTTATTTGTTCCCACTAGGCAGCACAGACTGTTGTAGCACTTGCCTGAAGGAGCATCTAGGACTTTAACCCAAAACTGCATTCCAAAGACAACTCTGAAAAATACTTCCTCCAGTGACTGGCAGAATAGTCTTTATTACTGCCATATGGCAGTTTTCAGTCCACCTTTATAGTAACAAATTAGAAATGGTGTCTATGAAATGAAGAACCCAGGCTTTCAGATGTTGTGTGACTTGCCCCGGCTAAAATGAGCAAAAGGTGCAGTTGAGATTTTAACCCATTTCTGTCTCCACACCTCTGTGGACCCTTCTAGGCACCAGGTAGTTGTGCTTTTTGCCCTCTCCTGTTTTCTCTGATCCCAAGCAGGCAGCTGAAGTCATAGTAAGTTATATTGAAGCCAGCTTCCATTATAATTTGGATTGGAACTCATACTTAACATTGTCCCCGATCAGGATAGTAAAGGGAAATGGGAGTTCAGTCTGCCAAAGGAGAGTACTTTAAAGGCCTTGGCTGAGTGTGGAGTAGAGAGAAGCAAAGAAAACTGTAACCCTGCTGCTTCAAAAGAACTGTCTGTGGCTCTTTCCTGTGGACAAGAACACTTGACTTGGAGGCTTTCTGTACATTGCCTCATTTCACTCTCCCTACTTTGTCATGGATCATTGAATTTCCTTAGTGTGGGCCTAATTAAATACTCTTGATGACACAAACTTTGCTTGAAAGTCTCAGTGCTGTTTTCCTACTTTGGTTTAACTGACAGGTATGGCTTAGTGACTACAGATGGAGAAGGGAGATGAGACCTCCCCCCCAAGGTTCTAGGGTACTTGGGGTCCTGTCTGCTCTCTGCAAAGTGGGATCTGTCAGTGCTGCTTTTCAGACCTAGGTGACGAAGCTGCAGAGGCTGCAGGGCTTCTGCAGGCCAGTGGTCTCTTATACTATGGCCAAAGCCATAGGCCACTGGCTTTGCATGGTCAGCCTACAGTTCATGATGGAGAGTTGAGGGGATTAGAGTGAACATGCACGTCACACCTTCTGCTTGTCTTCATCCCTTCTTCTGTCCTTCCTTTCTAGCAAGACTTCAAGGACCGCATTCGTAGACAAAGGTTGACTCAATCAAAGATAAAAGAAAATCGACAGCAAACTGTTCGTGCCCAGAAATACTATGATGATTATAGAGTTCAGTTACGTGCAAAGATGATGAGAATGAGAACCCGGGAAGAAATGGTACGTGTGCCTTTCTGTCTAGCTTTGCTATGGTGATCTGTGTTGATGTTTCAAGACCAATTTCTTTGTCTAGACTCTACCTCATTTTGGATTGCAAGTCTTAATGACGGCCATTGACAACATGTACATTACTCAGCTGTGCATTGCCATCTAGTCTTGGTCTTTATGGCCTCATCTTAATTTCCTCTGACTTCCTACACATAGATATTCCTCCAGTACAACTACCTTAGGGGTTTGGGAACATACTGCAAGAGACTGGAATTAAGGTATGTTTGTACAATGTAAGAATCCACCTAAAATAAAGCGGTGGGAAGAGGAGAATCAGTCTCTTTAAAGGATGTGACTCAATAAGTTAACCAGGCTCCAGTGAATGAACCCACACTGAAGGACATTTGGGGACACAAATTAACTCTGTGGGCCTTATGTATATATTCGTAATATGTATTGTACATATATACAATACATAATATACATAAGACCTACAGAGTCTATATACATACATATACATTTATATGAGTACGTTAAATTAGGTGGGGGGCAGTAAGGGGAGGTGGGAGGATCTGAATACCTTCAAATTATATTATATGGAAACCATAAACATTCAATAAAAATTTTTAAACCAAAAATAAATAAATATTAAAAAAAAAAGAAATATATAGCAGGGTGTGGTGGCAAATCCTAGCACTCAGGAGGCAGAGGCAGGAGGATCTCTGTGTGTTCAAGGCCAGCCTGGTCTACATAGTGAATTCCAAGCCAGCTGGGGCTACAGGGAGACCCTGTCTCAAAGAAAAAAAATAAGGAAAATAGGAACAGCTGGGCTGTCTTAACTAAGTTTTGGAGACCCCAAACTATCAGTAAACTGCATTTCTATAGTAAAACTTTATCATAGTTAAATTGGATCAAATATTCCGAAACGTTTACTTGGGAAGGCAACGCTAAGGCTTTGGGAGCTAATACAGGTAATGAATGCACAGCTGTCTAGCAGCAGTTTTAGCAAGAATTCTTATGAAGGGAAGACAACTCTGGGCATATCAAAACCTGTTCAACAGCTGCTTTATGGGGGTTGCCTGCCCAAACATTGACCCCCTCATCTTCAAATATGAACTTTTTGGGGTTTTTTAAATATTTCATGTGTGTGAGTGCATGTATACAAGTGCACCCTTGTGCGCAATGCCCACAGAGGTCAGAAGTAGTCGGATCCCCTGGAACTTGAGTTACCATGTGGGTGCTGGGAATTGAACCTGGGTCCTCTGCAGAAGCAGCCAGTGCTAAGCCATCTCTCCAGCCCCTGGATATGAACTTAAGTGCAGAAGCATTTGTTTCGGAATTATTTTCTGAAAGCAGTAAAGAATATATGGTACATGAGAAGATGTTGAGCACCACTAGTCAGCAGGGATATACAAATTAAAATCACAACCAACAGCACTCACACCCACTAGGACGGCTAAGATAAAGAAGAGATTGTGAAGACAGAGAAGTTGGAGCTTTCCTGCACGGATGGTGGGGTTGTGTAATGGTGTAACTGCTTTGGAAAAGTCCAGCAGTTCTTTAAAAGGTTACCAGAATGCAGTATAGCATTAACATATATATCTACATAAGAACCTCTACATAGATGTTCATAGCAAACATATAATAGCCAAAAAAGGAGAAATACCATATCTACCAACTAATGAAAAGATGAACAAAATTTATATTTATACAGTAGAATATTGATAAAGAATGACATAACTAATATATACCGTAACAGTGTAGTCTTCAAAAAAAATGCCAAGGTAAGGAATGTCCAAAATAGACAAATCCACAAAATATTTACATAGTGAATTCTAGGCCAGCTAGGGCTACAGAAAGACCCTGTCTCAAAAAAAATAAGGACCATAGGAACAGACTTTTTTTCCTTTCCACAAACTGAGGGAAGGGGAAAATGGAAAGTAACTACTGGTGGGTGTGGCGCTTTTGGGTGTGTTGGAAATGGTTCAAACTGCTATGTTACATAGCTTTGAATTTACAAAAACCTAGTACTTTACACAGCAGTTATTAAATTTCTCAATGAAAGTGCAACATAAATTTATTTTTATGATAAACTGACAGATATTTAAGAAACTGTTTGAAGAAGGTTTACAAATTCAGAAGCAAAGATTACGAGACCTAAGAAACTATGCCAAAGAGAAGCGCAGTGAAGAAAAGAGACAGCACCAGAATGAGCTGGACTCGATGGAGAACTACTATAAGGACCAGGTGGGCTTGTGTTGCTGACATTACAGTGTGCCTGATCCTGACCACCTGTTAAACTGGCTTAATCCATTGCCAGTGAGTCTGCACATTAGTGCAGAGCTTTGAATTGCTGTACAGTTAACACTGATCCCATTTTTTTAAAAAAAAATGATTTTACGTGTATGAGCAGTAGGTAGGTGCACCCATGTTGTGCGATGCCCGCAGAGATCAGAAAATGGCATCTGATCCTCCCGTGTGGGTGCTGGGAATCAAACCCAGGTCCTCTGCAAGAGCAGTCAGTGTTCTTAACCGCTGAGCCATCTCTCCAGCCCCTACACTGATCCCATTTCTAAGACAGAAACTTAAGGTGAAATAAGCTAGTGTCTGGCCATAGTGTACGATGTGTGTTGTGCTATTTCTATTAATATTTAAAACAGTATTAGGTATAAGAATAATGACTTTTTTTCCTTCCCCATCAACAGTTTTCATTGCTGGCAGAAGCCATATCACAGGAACATCAGGAACTCAAAGCCAGAGAGAAATCCCAGGCTCAGGTAATAAACAGGACAGGAATTAACCAACTGTATTATAACTTTAAAGTAATGGAGAGAATACTAGTAAGAAAATCCATCTCTGTTTAAAGCCTTGAATAAGCTTAACTTTAGCTGTTCTGGTCTAAGAAGCACTACTGAATTATTAAAATTGTTGGAAGAGCTGGTAGGTGGAGGGGATAAAAATAGATGAGGCCTGGATGAGTGTTATGAGTCACAGGATGATACCACTTCTCTTTTAGACATTACATAAGGTGAAGAGAGAGCTCAGAGCAAAGATGGAGAAGGAAATCCAGCAGCTGCAGTACATGATAACACAGAGTGACGACGATGCTTTCTTCCAGGAATTGGAGGCTGAGCGCTTCAAAGCTCGGCTGCAGCTGGCTTCCTTCCAGTACAGTAAAAATCCCTTACCAAGAGGCCAGACTTCATAGATGATGTTTCCAGAGCCTTTATAATATGGCTGGAGTTAGAACTGAGCCAGTAGTCTTTTTAAAAGACAGTTTTTTAAAAAATGCCTATCTACACTTAGTTTTCTTTTTAAATAAACTTTTCTTAAAAGTTCGGAAAGTCTTTTTTGTATTTTTATTGAATTTTTGTACAACACCTTAACCATCTTTATACCCTTCACTATCCACACCCTCCTGTAGTGGTGTGTGCTGCCTCTGTGGGATTTCATGAATTCTGTCATTTGTGTTAAGGCCTATCAAGTTAAGTTAGTGTCCCCAGACATTCCTCAGTGCAAGTTCATCCACTAGGGTCTAGTCAGCCTATCTAGATTGTTTTGTTTTTTTGAGACAGGGACTTCCTGTAGCCCCAAGTAGCCTGGAACTCACTATGACTTGGAACTCACAAGAGATCCACTTGCTTCCCAAATGCTGAGATTAAAGGAGTGCACCACCACACCCAGTTTAAGATTTTTAAATTTATTTTATGTGTATCAGTGTTACACCTGCAGGTGTGTTAGTGCACCCATGTCATGCAGTGCCCACAGAGAGGACAGAAGAGGGCGTTGGATCCCCTGGAACTGGAATTATGGATGGTTGTTAGCTGCCATGTGAGTGCTGGGATTCAAACCCCAGTCTTGGGCAAGAACAGCCAGCTCTTAACCACTGAGCTCTAGCCCCCAGAAATTTTTTTTTTTTCTTTTTGAGATGGGACTGTGTGTAGCCCCTGGCTGTCCTGGAACTAATGTAGACTGGGCTGGCCTCGAACTCACAGAGGTATGCTTGTTGCTGCCTCCTGAGTGCTGGTATTAAAGTTGTGTGCCAATATGTCCTGCCAGGTAGCAAGTCTTGGTTGAATAGCCAGCTCCTGAAGCCTGTTGCTGAAGGTCAACAAAAGTCTTAAAACGCCCAGGACCAAGACAGCATCCAGCTGCCCTGCAGACTGGATAAAGTGTCTGTAACTGCGAGTCACCAGGGACTGTCTGAACTGTAATACACCACTGCTATTCCCACTGCCTTTCCCAGATGTTCCATTCTATAGCCTCTGTGTTGAGACTCATGCAGGCCACATTCCAGATGAAAAAAAAGCACATGTTCCTTTTTCTACTTGTGTTTAGCTGTACTTTCATCAACTGGCATTTATGATTTGGGAATCATACACCTTTAATACCCATGGCTTCTAGGGAAAAAGGAACTAAGTTCTCCATGAAAATATATTTAGATATATATTTCATTTGATTTTATGTGTATGAGTGTTTTGCCTGCATGTATGTATATGTACCACGTGTACAGTGCCCTCAGAGGCCAGAAGAGGGCATCCAATCCCCTGGAACTGGAGTTATGGACAGTTGCTAGCTGCCATGTGGGTGCTGGGAACTGAACCCCAGGTCCTCTGTAAGAGCAGCCAGTGCTCTTAACTGGAGCCATGTCTTCAGCTCCCAAGCTCACCTTTTCGTTTTAAGGATTTTTATTGCTCAATACCAAGGCATGCTGGCAAATGTTAGGTCCTTTATCCACCACAGCTCTGCCATGCAGACCCTGGGCAGACCTGGTTATAGACATACATTACACTTTTCCACTAACTGTAGACAGCTCAAAATCCCACTGCCTCACAACCCCACAAGCACTGGAAACTTGGCAGGTTGTCATGACAGAAGAGCTCACCTGCCAATGACTGGGCTCAAAAGAGACCTGCATCCTCCTTTTCCTGCTATCAGCCTTTGAAAAGCCAAACATACTTATTTCTTAAAAAAATTAAAAATTCAATATTCTTAAAAACTTTTGATGCTGTGACAGTGCAAACAGCATTCATTTTATTGCTCAACTTCAGCATGGGCACATACATAGTTAATTTTTAAAAACCATTTATACAGATGTTATTGATAAAGCTCATGTAGCGAGTGAAAATACAAAGAATATCAAAGCTAAAACATTCTGTAATAAATACACATACAATGAAAACGATAAAACTTTGTTTTTAAAGTCAGTTTGAGAGAAGGAAGAATATTACATAAAGTGAACTAATTACATCTAGAAATAAAAACAACTCAGCATTTGGTACAATCATCATCCTAACGTGAGAACGTTAAATACCACAAATGGCACCCGTTGACAGGAAGCTGCAGCTGAAAGGCAAGCGGGAAGGTGCTCCACCACACGCACCCTGAAGGTGGCTGGAGGCATCTCGAACTCCCACCAGTGTAGTCAGTCCAATGCACCAGAAGTTCAAAGCAGATTTAGTGTTTTCAAAGAAAGCAAATTACATTGTATTTAGAAATTTGTGCTCTTGACTGGAAATGCAAGGAAGTAGGGAGTAGGAAGACTTGGTAAGAAATACAGGGCAACAAACTGCAAAACAAAATGTACACTATACACAGCACTATTTTAAAACTCTTTACACCAAGAAACCAGGCAGGCCCTCTGAACCCAAACTTGGCTCTGTACTGCATATGAGCTCTACAGAGTAACCAGTGCTCATACTAAGCATTTATAATGGTAAGGGACTAGAAGAATGAGGAGTGACACCACGTATCTGAAATAACACAATTAGAGAAAGGAAAAGAAAAAGCCAGGGAGGAGGGCCATGTGGAAACAAACACAAGTTGGAAGTCCAAGTTCAATGGCATTGGGGGGTTTTGTTTGCTTAGCACCTATTTGGCAGTAATCAGGTAATACAATTTTGAAGTTGAAATCTAAATCATGTTTTCATGTCACATCTGTGTTACACAGGGTGACCTACTTTAAAGCTGTATGAAGTCACTGTTACAAAGTTAAAAGGCACTCACAAAGCGATGGTACTTGCCTGCTTTACGCTCTTCATGAAAACAACTGGAGTGGCATCTCATATTACCAAATCCTTGTTATGATCTCCTTTCCCTTTTTAATGCAGGGCCTCATGGAGCCAAGGCCAGCATCAAACTCACTATGCAGCTGAGGCTGGCCTTAACCTCCTGATCCTCCTGCCTCTGCCTCCCAAATGCTGGATTACAGGTATGTGCTGCCTGGCTTATCTATAGGATGTCAGTCAATTTGTTAGGAAAGGTTTGGTTAAGTAGGTACGAACTGCACTAGTGCTTTAGTAGAGAGATGGACCTGCAACCAACAAGGTGCAATCCCCGAAGCTGAAAAGGACTGGTGATCAAAGGGCACGAAAACTATTTCTGTACATTTCAAAAAGTTCTTCAGTACTACTAAGAACAGGAAAAACAAAATGTCTGAGAAGAAAGTCACTGCACAGTTACAGCTATGACTTTTAGTTGTCAAATTTGGCCAAACAAAATACACTTAAATACTAAGAAACTACAAAAGTAGTCCTCCACTTTTTTAAAGCAGCAAAGTCTCCTTTTATCCCCCCACCCCCCAAATGCGTACTTAGAATTCAATTTCCAGAAGGGAAAGACAACTGCTCTGGGGAAGGCTGGAGGATGGGGTGAGGATCCTGCTCAAACACTAACCGTGCCTTCCTGCCCTTTGTCTCTCCTCAGACCCTTACCCCTCAGGCACCTCTGAGGACCCCTTTGGTTTCAAGAACAGACAGGAGTCCACTGTATCACATGAAACAGAACACACAGGCCTATTCTCTATCTCACCAGAAGTTGCTATTCTTATTTCACATTGATGTTTTTAAAAATAGTGCATCTTTTTGATGACTGGTTTTTAAAATCTACCTGTACTTTAGATTGTTGCAATCCCTTGTCCCAGAATTTTGGTTGCCTTCTGAACATCATGGGACATGTTGTACACCTTGAAAGCTCAGCCTGAATACTAAGCACTGAGGCAGCCAGGACCCCACTTCAAATTAATTCCAGTTTTAAAGTAATTCATACAATAGCGACAGTCACTCTTCCTGGGGGTTGGGAGGGGGGTGCGACATGTAGGATCTGCTGTGTACTTCAGGCTGGCCTTGAACTTGAGCTTTACTCCTCCTGCCTCAGCTTCCATGTGCTGGGACTTGACAAGTATGTGTCATCATAGATTTCACTCATTTTTAGCTATCACATTCCCTACCCGTCATCCCCAGAACTACCTCCAGTTCATCTTGTGAGGTAAAAGCAGGATTTTCTAAGCTTGCTAAATAATCTTTAGAGCAAAAATTTTCATAATTTTAGCTGAGTAAAATCATCAGCAGGCAGCTAAGCAAAGCTTCAGGATGGTTTATGTGACAAACTTTAAATTAGATGCACTTACTAGAGACTTTGGTTTATAGAAAATAGTATATATATTAAAGACAAACTGACCCAGCAAAGAACGAAAATTCCATCCCATCACATGCTTCAAGAAGCTACAAAAATGCAGTATTTCAATTTAAGATGAAAAGTCAATCCAAAAATACCTGATCCTATTGATTCAAGTAAAAAACATTAGGTTTTTAAAAAGTCTTAAAAACAGAACACATCTTAATGTAGCAAATAAACTAATTTTAAATGGTTGCATTAGGAATTTCCAAGGAATTCACACTTGAAAAATATAAAAACAACCCACTTAGGCTAGGTTGACCCACATAATGCAAAATATAATGCTCTGCTGTAGAAAAAACATAACTAAACATGTAAATGGCTTAGTTTTCTTAAAGGTAACAATTCTTTTAGCCAATTGTTTACAAAGGTGGGATAATTCAAAATAACTTTATTTCATTTACAAAGAGCAAGTACAGGAGCTGTTCAAAATCATGTATTCAATTGAAATGAAATGTGGTTTGTAACGACTGCTGGAGTTGTCCTGATGTGTGTGATACTTGAGTTTGTGAAGCGATTTGAATAGATTACCTTTTATAAAAATAGTAGTCTTTAAGTGTAGAATACTGCCTGACTCTGGAAATGCAGGGAGTCAGCATTCTTTAGGTTCAAGGTATTAATTTTAAGTAGCAGCTGAGTGTGTCCTCATGGCAAAGCATAAAGACCTTTATTTTTCCTTGAAAAGGAATTTTAAAATTGTCCTTTCCCCTCACAGTGTCTACATTGTAAAGGGGGAGTGTCCTGTACTTCAGCATTCTTTGAAGTGCTGCTAAAAGAAGGCTGTCAGTGAGGGGTATAAATAGAGTTCTGGGAAAGCCCTCGAAGCTCATCATTCCACAGCAAATCCGCATGTCTCTTCGATGGCTGTTAGCAGCTTTTCATAGAGCTTTTCGTAGCTTTCATAGGGCGGAATGTCTATTCGATTGAAGCTGTGAATAAGCAAATCAGACTTTATAATCCATTAAAAGAATAAGTAAACTGACTCGGCAAGTATGTATTTGTACAGCCATGGCATTCTTTGTGGCACACAGAAAACTAAAGTGGTGATTCCTCTAGAGTGGAGATTACCACTTTGGAGCCTTCCTGCTAATTTCTGAATAATCTTAACTTCTAAATCACTAAAAAGAGTTGCTTATCATTTAAAGGTTCTCTTACTAGTAGGAATAGTCAACAAAAAGTCAAATCTGTACAGAACACCTACCTACATTGATGGAGAAAAAGCTATGAAAATAACTCACCAAGTGTGGGCTTTTGGCAAATTGTTCGTGCAAGCATCAATCTGGTGTATGGTAAAGAGCCGTGGGCCTGCAGCACCTGCCAGTGAAGGGAATGTGGGTCAGATCACTGCAGGTACATGTGTCCATCTCCGGAACCTCAGAATCAATTGGTACATAAACCACAGGATCTGGGGGTAGGCAATGTCCTAAATCCACTCAGGATACCTCAGGGCAACAGGAAAAGAATCCAGGTCTTCAAGGTTGAAACTGATCTTGGATAAGGCCAAGTGTCTCAATAAGTTAGCATTTCAATTTGAGAAAGTTTGTAACTAAAATCTTTTTGCCAATTTGTCTTTTATAGAAAAATATATCCCAAAAGAATGAGGAGGAAATTACTTGGGCAAAAGCAAGATAAAATATACATTTTGGTTTGCTTTGTTGTGTGTGTGTGTGTGTGTGTGTGTGTGTGTGTGTTTTGTTTTTTTTTTTTTAAGCTAGGACCTGTTTGGCCTCAAGACCCTCCTGCCTCAGCCTTTAGAGTGCTGGGGATGACAGGCATATGTTCCCATGCCTAAAATACACAATTTGAATCATACTCAAAAGGATGACAGCCTAATGCAAATGTAGGTTTTGTGACTCAAACTGAGCGCAGTCTACAGATACATTTCAGTTAACACACATAATCTGTACAGAAACAGGAGAAATACAACCTCCAGCTCTCCAAACAGAGGGGAGCACAGCTCAAAGGAAGGTTGGCCCAGGGCTTTCACGTGCTCACTGCAGGCGGCACTGATGAATTATGTACCAGTCTTACACTATCTTCCACCCTCACCAGCAGCTTTGAAAGTGAAAAACTTCGAGGTAAAGGAAGTAACTGCCACCCAGTGAAGCATCACAATCATTAGTGATGTTACCAACTAATCCAAAAATTACACAGCTATTCCATAGAAAATAATTCATAAACCTGGAAGAAGGCTGTAAATCAATAATCTGAAGCCATGCAATCATTAAAGGACTCTGACCAAACAGATGGCTTCCACAATCCATGCCGCCTCTATTAAAAGTAAGTAAAGCAGGAGCAGCCCAGGTAGGGAGAGGTTTTGCCAGGGTGAGATGTGACCACGGAAGTGGACAGCTTCCCTGCAGAAAGCAAGGGGACCAGAAAACGAGAGGCAGAGTATCAGCATGCACGTTCCACCTGACATGCGGCACTCACTACAATCAGAGAACCCACAGAAAAGTCTTTCAGGAAGGGAACAAGAGAAGAAAGAAGGGACGGTGGCATGAGTTACAGACATGAAACAGTTAAAAGACAAATCTGTTTTTAACACTTGGTCTATAAACATCAGTATATAGCAGTTACACTCGCCCACCCCTGCTCATGCCTGGTCCCTGTCTGTCCCCCACAGTTTTACCTTGTAGTGCTTTGAAGCCCTGCAGAGGCACTCTAGAAGAGCCTGTCACGAACTGAAGCAAGCGTGCTCGCCGCTCTTCATCAAAAAACTCCACAGCTTTCCAGAACCACTTGACAATGTTGCTGTCTGGTGTACAGTGTTTTAACCGGGTGTTGACTTTCCAGTCACTCACATCTATCTTGCCAAGTCCACAAATAATGAGCTGTTGAAATAGTACACAAGTGGTAACCCAGTGGAGACCAAAGCCAGGCCTCCAACCCCTCATCGCAGAACTTTAGATTTGCAGTGAGGGTTCTCATTGGTGGCATAAGACAGAATTGTCTGGAAAGTTTTTAAAAAATATACACAACAGAGCCTATGCCCAAGAGACTTTAATTCTCTATGTGTGGGTGGCAGTCAGAATCTGTACTTTTCAAACCTCCAGAGGCACTTGTTCACTGCAGGTCCCCTTCCCAGTGTCTGAGAGTCACTGTGGTAAAATTGACAAGATAACAGAATCGTGGAAATTCTGCAATTTCAAAATAGAATGGTAAAATTTTAAAAGATTGGACAGAAACTGAGACTTGGGAGTAAATACAAGCTGGTCATTGTGCCTCATGCATGTAAAGCCAGTACTCAGGAGGCTAAGCAGAAGGACTGCCACAAATTTGAGGCTAGCTTGGGCTACTGCTTGTCTCAAAAACAAAAAAGGAAGTGGAGGAAGGAAAAGAGAGGGAAGCAGAAGAGTAGGGAGGAGGAAGGAGGGAGGAAGAAGGGGAAAAAGGGGGGAAAGAACGGAAAGGGAGGAAGAGGAGAAAAAATAATACAGTTGATCTGTGCCTCCTTCAGACCTGCATCACACAGCACTGGTTGTACCACTATTAGCTTTGCAATTTGGGGCAATTCAGTTGCCTCCTCAGCCAGCAGCATTCTTTGCTGCAATTACCTCTACTTCACTGCATCTAGGAAAGTAACACATATTGCACAGCAATTCAAGACATACGTGTTGAACAAGTAATACTATATGCTAAACAATCTTGAAATTGTATTAAAACACAAAATACATGAACTCTGCTGAAAAGAACTCTGCTTGACAGCCTGATGCAGGGTCAGTTATTCATGAACTACATCTAAATTAATTTGGCACCATTAATACATCAATAGAGTCCAAGACTAACATGTTTACAATCTAACATGTTTGCTTTTATTTATTTACTTATATATTGTGTATGTATGTGTTTGGGCACACATCTTTTACTACATTTATTATTTTGTGTACACACACACACACACACACACACACTCGCGTGCATGCCACAGCATAAATATGAAGGTCAGAGGACAAATTTTGAGAGTTCTCTGTTTCTACCACATGGGACCAGAGAATCAAAACAGGTCATCAGGCTTGGCAGCAAGTGCACTCGTCCACTGAGCCATCTTGCCTAATCTACAATGTTTATAACAGTGAATTAGGATAGTGTATAAATCACAATGTAATTTATATAATCTAGATTTTATATAATCTTGCTAATCCATATTAACATTAAAACAATATAAACATGTTTTCTAAAAATTTAAATGATTTTAATAGCAATAAAAAACTATACAGTAGGCAAGACTGGATGGTGCATGCCTTTAATCCCATCACTTGGGAGGCAGAGGCAGACTGATCTCTCTGACATTGAGGTCAGCCTGGTCTACATAATGAGCTCCAGGCTAGCTAGGGCTACAGGGAGACCCCATCTCAAAAAGACCAAAAACAAACTATGCAGTAAATCCTACCCCTACCAAAAAAAATCCCCCCCAAAAGCTTCTATAAGCTTCTAAATGATTGCTGGATTTTAGCCACACTAAACTGGGAAGATTATAGATGCATTCAAAACAAAACAAAAAAAATCATTTTCAGGGAGTGGCCGCTATAGCCCAAACTCCTGACTGACCCCAAAAGCAGATGAAGAGGTCCTGAAATCCTAGCCTCACTCTACTCCAGTTCTGTGGCTATGTTTTCTTCCTCCTTACCACTTCATTATAGAATTCAGTCACAGAAGGAATGGGGACAGCACTAATTCAATCAATCTTTCTAAATTTGTTAATAGGTCTATTAAAAATTAGTTTTTTTTAAAAAGGGAAAATAACATTAATAAATAAAATCATGTTTTAAATTGTTTGTAGACTTCAAATACTTAGGCTATTCCCTAACCACCAAATACATTTGGGACCTTTGGTAAAACAAAATCTTTTCTTTTCCGCTTTCCTTTCTTCCCTTCCTTCCTTCCTTTCTTGAGATAGAATCTTACTACATAGCCCAAAATGGCCTTGAATTTTTGATCTTCATCTCAGTCTCCCGAGTGCTACATTACAGCTATGCACCACCATACCCAGCAATCTTTATTAGTTTTTTTCAAAGCAGTTCAGTAGAAAGTCAGATATACTTACTAAGGGTCTTAATTATAAAACCAGACCTGATGTATGTTAAGTTCCAGATTCAAACAATAACAAAAAATCTTAACTGTTTAGTACAGTTGCTTACTGTTACTATGTGAGTGTTTACAAATGTCTAAGGATGGTTAAATACTATATACTTCATCTTGTGCCTAATTTTTCTCTATTTTATCTACCCTATGTTTTCCATTTTGTAGCAAAGGTGAGTAAAAATCCAACTGAGCTTAATCGTCTATCCAAATAAATTTGAATACGGCAGAGACAAAGTAAATACAGTTGTATTTAATTAAACCAATAACCATTAAATCAAGGAATAGCAAAAAATTGGGAAGAGGGCTGCTGAGATGGCTCAGTGGATAAAGATACTTGCCAAGCAAGCCCGACAATCAGAGTTCAAGTTCCAGAACCCATGTAGAGGTGGAATGAGAAAAGCAACTCCACAAAGCGGTCCTCTGACCTCAACATGAGTGTGCCATGGCATGCACACCCACACACATCATGCACAAATATAGCTTTTAAAAAATTTTTTAATTGGGAAGAATATATACATGACACCCAAAGAAAGATCAGGGGCTGGAAAGGTAGCTTAGTTGGTGTAATTGAGCACTCAGAAGGTAGAGACAGAAGGACCAGAAGAAAGAAGTTCCTGGCCATCTTTGTCTAGATAGCAAGTTCCAGGCCAGGTACATGAGACCCTGCCTCAAAAAGAAATGGGGAGCTGAAGGGATGGCTCAGTGGTTAAAAACACAGACTGCTCTTCTAGAGGACCTGAGTTAAATTTCCACAATGGGCGGCTGGCTCACAACTGCCTCTGGGGGATCCAACACCTCTGGCTCTGTGAGTACCTGTACTCACATTACCCTCTGCACCCTGTACACACACATATATACATAACTAAAAATAAAATAAATCTTTTTAAAAAGTCTATAAGGGCCAACCAAGTGTGGTGGCCCATGTTTTTAATCGCAGCACTCAGGAGAAAGAGACAGGCAGATCTTTGTGAGATTGAGGTCAGCCTGATCTACATATTGAGTTTCAGGCCCTGTCTCTTTAAAAAAAAAAAAAAGTCTCTAAGGCTCTATAAATTAAGAATATCACATTAGAAGAGAGTGCTTACAGAAATTCCAAAGCCCCAAAAGTCATTTCCTATGAATAAGAATTCCCACTGAGCCCTAACACTCTGACAGCATTAGAACCCAGCTCTCTGAAACTAGAAATCATTCCTCACCTTTCTTGGTTGCACTAGATGCTAACCAAACATTAATGCACTGACCTCTAGCTCCTTCTCATCAAATGTCTTCAGCAGATGCTGTGGAATCACTTCATTAAATCCTTTCTGCAGAGCCAGGAACTGAGCTTCAATGCCTCGTAGAAACCTCCAGTTCACATACAGCCTGCAAACATTGGGCAGGGGGTTCATGGGATTGCATATATTCAGATTTAGTGATCTCTATGAAAACTTTAGCAACTTCATACCCCACAAGCATCTATCAGAAATTTAGTTTAATAGGGATGGGGTGTAGGCCAGTTATAGAGGGCTTGCCTCACATATGCAATGCCCCAATTTCAATCTCCAGCCACCCCTGAAAAAAAGGTGAGATAGACAAATAGAGAGAGTCAGAGAGAAAAAAAAATCAGAGAATTTAGATTAATGTCTAAAGAATGTTCAAACTAATGAGGATAAATGGATCCTATGTGCTCAGACAATTCAATGTATTAGAGTAGCACACAGCCCTGTAAGTTTAACTGGTCAAGACTATAAAATCGCTATAAGTTGGAAGACCCAGAACTGAGTTTGGTCAGGGTGGTCCATATCTGGATCAACCAAATCTCCCCTATGCTTGGGAAGGATTGCCAGCTATGTTTGGGCCCCCATCCCCCTATTACATGGGGATAGGAGTGAATATCATTTATCCCCACTACAAACCCACGATAGTCTGATCCTCCTTGTAGCTGGTAAATGGCCAGGTTGACTTTGGAGGACCTCCAGGGTAAGGGACCTTGTTTGATATCCTCAGCTTTCCAACTGGAGACCCAATCATGTAGTCACCAAGTCAGGACTAACAATTCTCAGGAAACTCAGATTTTCTTTCAAGCCCCTGAAACCACCTAGTGAGCATGCACCTTCCATCTTAGTGCATGGCCGCAGAACAGCTAGAATGAGACTCTCATCACGTGCATACTCGTCCGTGTTCTCCCCCAGGTTTATCTCTATAGTGAAGAGGAAGGGTGGGAACACATCTACCTTAATCCAGGTCTCTCAAGGGCCAAGAGAAGTCCCACCATCATTTTTGTCCCCCTCCTTGTGGGAGCAGGCATTGCAGGTTCTGCTGCCCTGGGTGCCACCTCCCTAGCCTTGGGTAAAGAAAATTTTAGGCTTCTAAGCTCTCAAACAGAGACATCAGATACCTACAGGACTCCACTGGGCAGTTGGAGACAGGTTGTCTCCCGAGCTGAAATGGTGCTACAGAACAGACGGGACTGGACCTACTGTTCCTAAAGGAAGGAGGCTTATGCATGGCCTTGGGTAAGACTTGCTGTTTTTACACTAATAATTTGGGTGTAATTAGGGAAACCCTAGCCTTGGTTAAACAAAACTTAGAGAAGAGAAAGAGAAAGACAGGCATCCTCCAATTGGTACCAGTCATTATTCTCCTGGTCCCCATGGTTCACCACCCTGATAACTGCAGCTGCTGGGCCTCTGGTAATACTCCTCCTGGCCTTTACAGTGGGCCCATGCCTCCTAAATTGTCTAACTGGGAATATCAAAAGGTTTCTAAATGCCATCAAAATTATGGTTCTGAGGAGCCATAATATGAGCCACTAAAGTAGAAATGAGTCAACAATTTGACTCGTGTTCCAGAGCCAATGGGGAATGTGATAGCCTGAGCTCCTCCATTTTGTGTAAGTCTGCCATCTTGATGAGCCATCCCAGATCCTGCCCTGGCCCTGGCTGGTAGTTCCAGGAAGAGCTGACCCCAGAGAAACACACCCATCAAACCGCAGAGGTTTCCAGTTAAAGCTTATCTGGCTTTTGTAACTGCTTGCTTGTACACCTACAGGAACAAACATGTGACTGCTTGTTTTTGACCAACTTCCTGGTCCATCAGGATGTGGATTTCGCCTTTAAAGGCTTTACTTTCCATTGAATCTGGGCTGCATTCTCTAAATCCTGACCCAGAGAGTGCAGTTGCTGGCAAGCTAAATAAAATTCAGCTAATTCAGAACACCTGGAGTCTGTGTGGTCCTTCCCAGTGGTTTCAGCATCGTTAACAAATGTGCATAAAATATAGGCCTTCCACCACTAGCTAATAGCATCAATGAGCCACTCTTCAAGAAGGGCCTAGTGCTGCAAGCCTGTAATACCAGTTACTACGAAGGCTGAGGCAGGAGTACTGAAAATTCAAGGCCTGCCTGGACTACAGAGTGAGTTCAAGGCCTGCGTGGGCAACTTAGTGAGCCTTTGTCTCAAAATAAAAAATAATAAAGGCTGGGCATGGTGGCGCTCACCTTTAATCCCAGCACTCAAGAGGCAGAGACAGGCAGATCTCTGTGAGTTTGAGGCCAGCCTGGACTATATAGTAAGTTCCAGGCCAGCTGGGGTTACAGGGAGACCCTGTCTCAAAAAGACAAAAAATAAATAAATAATAATAATAATAATAATAATAATAATAAAGAGGGCTGGGGATATAGCTCGGTGGTAGAGCACTTGCCTAACATGCACGAGGCCTTAAGTTCAGTCCCCAGGGTGATCGATCGATTGATTGATAGAGAGATGATAAATGATTGATTAGATAGATGATAGATCGATAGATAGATCAATCGACAGATAGATAGATAGATAGATAGATAGATAGATAGATAGATAGATAGATAGATGTGGGTGGATAGATGGATGGATGGACACAACTTTTCATATCAGAAAAACCTCTTCGAAAACTGAAAGTCTACAAGAACTTAGATGGATCTGAGGTTCAATCTCTGCCACAAAAACTAATTGTAAGGGCTAGAGATGCTCAGTGGTTAAGAGCACTGGCTGCTCTTGCAGAGGATTTGACTCCCAGCTCTCACATGGTGGATGACAACTGACTACAAACTCCAGTTCCAGGGGATCTGATACCCTCTTCTGACCTCCTTGGGCACTGCACAGCACAGGTACACTTACACACATGCAAGCAATACACTCGTACAGAGAAAATAAAAGTAACTATTTCTTAAAAGTTTTAAATATCTTAAGATTTCTTTCTAAACTTATAGCACACATACTGATAATCAGAATAAAGAGCTCAAACTCTTAAAAACTGATCATTTGGGGTTTTACTTCAAAGTGTCATCAGAATGTTGGTATTTTGTTTATATATTAGGGAAGACTAAGGAGAAGGGAGGCAGAGAATCTCCATTCTCAAAATGAGAACAGCTGGGTGAGGTGGTGCACACCTTTAGTCTCAGCACTTGGAAGAGGCAGGAGGATCTCTGTGAGGCCAGCCTGGTCTATATAGTGAGTGCCTAGCCAGCTGGGGCTACAGGGAGACCCTGTTTGAAAAAGACAAAATAATAATAATAGTAATAATAATAATAATAGTAAAAGCCAAGAATAAGCACTTTTTGAATAAATATTCATTGCTCCCTGGAGGCTATAAAAACCTTAGACTATGTCACTTTACCAAGAAAAATGCACTGAATTACTATATAACTTTCCTTGAACTTTTCTTGATATTTTTTGAGGCAGGGCCTAACTAAATATAATTTATATAAATATATGCATGATTGAGTCTCATAGGCTGCTTACAGGATAGTCAACAATGACCTGTACACCTGATTCTCCTGCCTCTTGGGATTAAAGGTGTGTACCAACACAACACCCTTATCCATAGTTCTTCAATTACATGTGTTTCTAGAGAAGAGTCCTAAACATGGGGGTTGCCAAGTTTATGGTATGCTTGTTTCCATTTTAGTAGCTGTTATCAAACTGCTTTCCAGAAAAGTCATACCAATGTTCACGCCCTTCAACAGTGTAGGAAACTGAGGAGCCTTATCTTCAAACTAGGAAAATTAGGCCTGACATGGTGGTACATGCCTTTGATCCCAGCAGAGGAAGAAGCAGGCAGATCTCTGTGAGATTAAGGTCACCTGGTCTACATAGTAAATTCTAGGCCAGCTGTGGCTACATGGGAGACAAAAAAGCAAACTAGGAAAAATTTAGTGAATATGACTTGGGAACATAATCTATACAAAACAGCGTAAGATACATGATTCTATTCAGATATGATGAAGTTCAAACTACTAAACATGATTACCACCCTTTTATATTTAAGACTTTAGTTATAGACAGGTGTAACAGCAAATGCATGTGTGGCACTTGGGAGGTAGAAGCAGGAAGATCAGGAGTTCAAGACCAGTTTCAGCTACATAAAGAGTTTGGGGCCAACTTGGGTTCCATGAGGTCCTATCTCCAAAAAAATTACCCCAGTACTTCAAAATTTCCCAATTTCTATTTCATAAAACTTGAGGAACATTGTCTTATATGCATCCCCTCAACTCCCAATGCACTCATTTGTAAGCAGGCTAAGTTCTAGTAATATAGTACAAAGTGCTTCTGTGTTTTCCCCTGTGGAAGCTATGCTACATGTAGCTCCCTTTCCTTATGTCTCCTGGCATTCCCACCTTTGGGCACACCCTCACTGAACCTGTGCTGCCATGTGTGTCACTTCATCCAAAAGAATTCAACAAAAATCATGTTGGTCAGAACTAAACTTAGACCTTACAAAGATCAGGCACAAGTCGACATGACACATACCTACAATCCCAGCACTTGGGAGATAGAAGTAAGAGGAGCAGGAATTCAAGGTTATCTTGAGCTACATAGCATGTTGGAGGCCAGTCTGGTCTACATGAGAATCTGCCTCAACAACAAAGATCTTTCAAGGAGACAGAGGCTAGGAGAGGGAACAGCCTTGATACTATGCAGAAGTCTAGTGAGAACAAGGCCTCAGACAAGTGACCTCAGGTGAAGGCCAGCCATCTGAGTCATCCAGGGTGAGGCCTCATATCTAAGGATAGGAGACCACCTTGGCCTTTATTTATTTATTTATTTATTTATTTATTTATCTTTTTGAGACAGGGTCTCCCTGAAGCCTCAGCTGGTATAGAACTCACTATGTAGACCAGGCTGGCCTCAAACTCAAAGATCCATCTGCCTCTGCCTCTTGAGTGCTGGGATTAAAGGCATGCGCAACCAGACCTGGCATGGTTGTTCTGGCTGACATCTTGTACTACTGATCCCTGGAATTATGAAAAATAATCAACAGTAGTATAGTTTATAAATTCTATGAAGTCTGCTACAGCAATAAGTACACATCCTAAATACTTAAATCTTCTTCTATACTGATGTTCTAGAACATTTTTTAAAAATTCAAGTGTTTACCTGACATATTCTTTTTTATTTTCTTCGGTAACAGGAATACTTTTGCCATTTGGTTTAAGTTCATGCTGAATAATTTCACCATATGCATTATGTTCAACACAGAAGGTATGGTCCAAAACACCTGTAATATCATTTTCACTAGATAGAAAACAGAAAAAGACATATTAACCGGGAAACCCAAATCACAGATACTATGGAGGTATTAATAGGTGAAATCTATTCATCTATGACATAACAAACACATAGACAAATTCCTCTGGCCAGTTCTGCTACCGTACCACCTTTTCTAATACAAAAAAGCCAGAACTTTATCTTTTATAAGCACAGATAAGTAATGACAGAGGGCTTTGGCCAAAGATGGACTCTTCTAGAACCACAATACAAGAAAATTTTAGCATTCAGATAGAAAGCACTACTGAATCTGTCCCCTCTGCCCCCCCGAAAACCCTTGTGTATCCCCAGTGAGAAAGTGGTTTGTGCACTCTATAAAACTAAGTATTGCCAGTGTCCCTTCCTACACAGAATCAGCAACTAGGTCTTACTTTCTAAAGCATGGTTCTAACAGTAACTACTTCATTAAAAAGCAATAGTAAGTAGGATTGGCGAGGGAGGTAGCTCAGCACGTAAAGCCTGAGCTCAATTCCCAGGACCCACATGGTGGAAGGAGAAAACTGACACCTGCAAGTTGTTCTCTGACCTCCACAAGCATGCTGTGATATTCTTGAGTGCATCCCCTGCCCCCACCCCACACACAGCTATTTTGACACATGCAGGGCTAACCAAAACAGAATTTGTGTCACACTGAGGACATTATTATATATAGTACTTTTAAAAACAGAATGCACAGGTTCAGTATCTTTAATATGAAAATCAAAATGTTCAAAATTTCAAAATATTTTCAGTATTGTACTGACCTGATACTACATAGGGAAAACTTCACACCTGGCCTCATGTGATAGGTTAAAGTCAAAACATAAGGACACTAAAAACACTATTATGTTACCTTCACACTATGTGTTTAAGGTGTACATGAAGTGAATTTTATATTTAGACTAGGGTCCCACCCCCAAAATATCTCAAGCATAAGCAAATATTCTAAAATCTGAAAAATAAAAATTTAAAATACTTCTAGCTCTAAGACTTCAGATAAGAATAATCTGCACTAGATTTTTCCTTTTAAAGCAGTAACATGGGCTGGGGATACAGCTCAGTGGTGGAGCTCTTGCCCAGTGCTCATGAGGCCCTAGTCTCCCTAATTTTAAGGAGTCTGAGATGTGTAGGAGAACAGCACAAGAGGGGAAAGTCTTACATGGTCCTACAAAAAACAAACAAACAAAAAAACAGAAAACCCACACTTAAATTTTCTGTGCATAATTCAAAAACATTTTACTTTTTTCTTTTTTTGGTCTTTTTGAGACAGGGTCCCCCTATAGGCCCAGCTGTCCTGAAACTATGTAGACCAGGCTGGCCTCGAACTCACAGAGATCCACCTGCCTCTGCCTCCCAAGTGCTGGTATTAAAGGCATGCGCCACCATGCCCAGCAACATTTTACTTTTATGTGTGAGTGTTTTGCTTGCATACATGTAGAGCACACATGCATGCAGTGCCCATGGAGGCCAAAAGAGGGCATCAGATCCCCTGGAACTGGAGTTATGGACTATTACTAGTCACCATGTGAGTGCTGGGAACGGAACCCAAGTTCTACAAGAGCAGCCAGTTCTCTTAACTACTGAGCCAGCTCTCCAAACTTTTTTTTTTTTTAAGTACGAACATCAGTTTGAAATGTATTTTTTTTTGTTTTGTTTTTGAGAGGATTGCCCTGACTTCATGATTCACCAGCCTCAGTTTCCCCATGCATAGGTTTTACTGGGATACACTTACAGTTTGTATCTTGTTTTTCAGGCTTTTTAAAAAATGTGTATGTACAAATGTGTGTGAATGAGTTCATGTGTACTATGTGTGCAGGTGCATGCAGAGGCCAGAAGAGGGCATTAGCTCCCCTGGAACTGCAGTTACAGGCAGTTGTGAGCCCCTGATGTGGGCTCCACAAACTGAACCTGGGTCTACTGCAACAGCAGTAAGAGCTCTTAACTGCTGCACAATGTCTCCATTCCCAACCTTGTATTTTTCTAAAGGCTCAGATGCTATAATACACAGATAGAAGATTGAATACGTACAGTATCCACACCAAACTATTATGAAGGTCAGGATCAACTAACTCCATGTCATCCAAAGTAATTGATTTCCCAAGCAACTGTTTATAAAAAGGCAATGTGAAACCACCATCAATATAATGTCCATGAAATACAGCCATTCCCATTATTCGTCCAACAAAGTGAAAATAGGATAAATGTTCCTGAAATTTTAAAGGAAATAAAAAAATGGTATATTCAAGTTAGAAATTGTCCAGTAAGTTTGTTGTTTTTTTTTTTTTTAAAGAAAAAGTAAAGCAACCCCCCTGCCCCCTTCTTTCCTTCTTGTTTTTTGTTTCTGAGACAGGGCCTCATTGTGTAGCCTGGGTTGACTTTGAACTCATGATCCTCTTTGCCTCATCTTCCCCAGTGCTGGGATTTCAGGTGTGGGCCACCACCTCATGTCACTCTCAAGAGCACAGGCACTATAAAACTTTTCCTTTACAAATCCGTCCAAACTACAATCCTACTGCAGCGTCATTAAACTACTTGCAGATCTGGTTTCTCCCTCTCTCCTCACCTCCAGTTAAGTGCTTTGTCACAAAAGAAAGCTTTTAATCCTAAACATCCTTGCTTTCTTGACCAACCAGAAATTCAACTTCAAAACACCATAGATTTGGTATCACATTTGGATTTGAGTCTGCCAATTACAGACTATGAATTCTTGGTCAAATTAATCAGTCCCTACAGAACTGTCCACATGTGGAACCATGAGGATGAGGACAGCAAGGTGATGAAACCCAGGGGTCTGGGCCCTGTATCTGGGAAGCACCCAACAACTGTTAGGTGATGCTCCCAAGTGGCAGCAGTGAGCTTCCCAAAAAGCAGCTTCTCCTACAAGTCTTCCTTTAATAAAGAATTTCCTGTGATGAATCTGACATTCCTACCACATTTGGATATATTTCTTTCATCATACTGTTTTGTTGATTTGGTACTTATATTTTTAAATTCTACTTCTCAACTTAGTAAGTAATCGTTAATCCCATCTCAATTTAATAAGTAATCTTTAATCCCATCTTTAAACCTTCCCTTGATCTTAAAAATAGCGACTACATTTTTTTTTTTTTTACAGTAACACCTGCTCACTTCAAGCAAAGACAACACGAGGGGTGGGCTTTGACAGTATACCGTTTGCCCACATACAGTCTAGCTCTCACTGCTTCCTGTGTCTACTAGAAGATGTGAGTGCTCTGAACACCTCCTGCTGCCATGGCTCCCCACCATGATGGACTCTTATCTCTGGAACCATAAGTCAAATAAACTCTTCTATAAGTTGCGTTTTATCACAGCAACAGAAAAGTAACTAATACACATGCCATGAATACACATCTTTGCTCTCCACATTATCATTTTATCTCATGGTATTCCCTTTAATGAAAACATGAACTTAATTAGAAAGCAACAAACTCAATTACTGATACTTTTTTTTCTGTTGCTGGTACTTGGGACTGACCTAGGGCCTCACTCATGCTTGTCAAGCACACTACCACTGAGCCACAGCCCCAGCCCTCAACTTTTCTTAAGTGTTTAATAATGTATTATAGGAATAATAAAGCATATTAAGTGCTTAACATACATGGTTTCATTTAGCTCTTATAACTCTACTCTGAGGTACACACTCTTCCAGGTATTAATAGCAATAAAACAACTGGGGCTTAAGTTAATTAACTTGTCCAAAGTCACAAAGCTAGTAATTTATTTGACAAAAATATGCTTCCATGTATTTTGTTTGTTTTTGGAGAGAGTCTCACATTGTAGCCCAAGCTGCCCTAGAACTTAGTACAGTAGCCCAAATTGGCCTCCGACTGGTGGTGATGCTGCTACCTCAGCCTCAAGAGTGCTGGGATTTCAGGGGAGAGCCATCACATACCCAGAGATTCCATTTTTTAAATTTCATAACTGACATTTTTTGTTTGGTTGGTTTTTTTGCTTAAAAAAAGTCTTACTATGCAGTTGAGGCTGGCTTAGAACTTTCAATTTTCCTGCCTCAACCTTCCAAGTGCTGGGATTACAGGCATATACCAACATATCCAGCTTAATAATAATTATTTATATCATAATTTAATCAATCCTCTCTCCTGTGGACAACTGAGTTGTTTTCAGTGGGAGATATCATCAGTCATAACCATCCTGATGTCCCAAATGTTGCAGACACTCATAGTCATTTACTTGAAACAATTTTCTAGATGAGGAATTGCTGAATCAAAAGGAATAAATAGGGTGGGGACAAACAATTTTTAAGAAACAACACTGCCATTTAAAGATGAAAAGCATTGTAGGTCCCTGTTTAATTCACATCATCATAACTACAACTCATACCGGATTAACTGCAGAATCGGGATTGATCTGCAATGTGTAGATATCATCTCTAGAATACTGGAAGAGGCCATAGTATGGATTCAACATTTCATGTGACAGGAGGTATAACCATTCCCTAGAAAACAAGATAAAGGAATTTTTATTAACTCAATACATTTTTATTAATATGTCATTAGTCACTTAGCAAGTAACTTTAAATTTTAAAAAATTATTATTGTGTGCCTAACATGTATGTGTAGGCACATGTGCCATGGAGCACATGTGGACATCTGAGGACAACTCTGTGGAGTTAGTTCTCTCCTTTCACCTTTATATGGGTTCTGGAACTCACATTCTGGCTGTGCAGCAAGCTCCTTAATCTACTGAGCCATCTTACCAGTCCTGGAATTTTTCTTAAGTTAAAAGACAGTAAAGTACTAACTAGTTATATGAGAGCACAAAAGAAAAAAAAAATCTAACAAGCTCAAAGAGCTAATAAAAACCTTTTTATTATTATAGTGAGTCATTGTTTATAATTTGGGGCCTCTGCCTCCCAAGTGCTGGGAATGAAAGGTGTGTGCTACCATGCCTGACTCTATTTTGGCCAATTTCATTATACTTTAGGTTCAGAGAATATAAAGGTATTAACAAGCAGTTCCGCTATATTACTTTAAATGCTAATTAAACTAATAATCTATGATAAATAGAAAATGAAGAGAAAAATGTGGTTTTATGTAAAACATCCACTTCAGATTTTATACTAGGTTCATAGGCAGAATACTTCATGAATTTACTCTTACTTTTGGAATGTTTTGTGGTATCATTTTAGTAAAGAAATTTCATTATTTCACATTTTATTGTATAAAGCCTAAAACAAACCATGGGACATGGTGAGAGATTCCAAGGCATTTAGGACAGGTCTGGACACAAGGGCCAGCATATAGTGTTTAGGCATGCGTCCCACTTTGTGTTAATGTAGGGCTTTGCACATGCTAGGAAAGTATTCCCAGTCCTCTTTTACTTGTTTAAGACAGGTCTTGTTTGCCCAGGCTGGCGTTAAACTCACTGTACATGTTGACCAGGCAAGGTTTGAACTGGTGATCCTCCTGCCTTAGCCTCCCAAGTAGTTGGGATTATAAAACTGTGCCACCAAGTCATGTTCTGAGCTCCTCCTTTTTTTCTATGTCCCTTTTTGTTGTATTGTGTTGTTTTGTTTTATTGTTTTGCTTTGGGGTTTGGTGTGGTGTGGTGTGTTGTTTTGGGGTTTGGTGTGGGTTTGGTTTGGTGTGGTGTGGGTCTGGTGTGGTGTGGTGTGGGTTTGGTGTGGTGTGGTGTGGTGTGGTTCAGCATCTCCCTACAAGCCCTAGATGGCTTGGAACTCACTATGTTGACCAGGCTAACTTTGATCTCATAGACATTTTCCTGCCTCTGCCTCCCGAGTACTAGTATTAAAGTTGTGTGCCACCACACCCAGCCCCTACACCTTGATTTCAAGTATACACCAAAACTTTTAAAACCTCATAAGTAGCACTACAATTGCCAACTTATCAAATTCTTTATATTTTCCAAAGTATAAAAGAGAACTCATTACTTATATCGGTGAAAATGAAAACATCACTATTCTAAGACTTAGGAGATCTAGTTCTAACCTCAACACTTGTCATGGCTGAATTTGGGGGAATTACTTAAATAACATACTTTGATATTCAGGATTAAATAGCATGAATAATACAGTTTTGATAAAAGTTGACTACTACTAACAACTAATTAAGGAAAACATTTCACAATTCCATAACATGATGAAGTCTAAATCAAATTACTATTATGTACAAGCAAAACCAGAATTATGTCTCTATACACGCAGCCTTCCAATGCAGGTAACATCTGGTATGTCCTGTGTGCTTTCTATGTGTGTCTGTATGCATCCATGCTTTGTTAAAGAAAATTCAAATTTCTGCTTTATTTTGGCAGGGTTTTAGAATATGCACAAGTGCAGAACTAAACTATTTCTAGACCCTGTTATAAAGTTCACTAAAAGTGGTTCACTTTCACATCTCATTTATTCTGCCCAAACTTTAAAATTTTTTTTTATTTTATGTGTATGCATGTATTGCCTGCATGTAGGTAAGTGCACCCATGTCGTGCAATGCCCATGGAGGTCAGAAGAATCTGTCGGATCCCCTGGGACTGGAGTTATGAACAGTTGTAGCAGCCATGTGGGTGCTGGGATTCGAGCCCGGGTCTTCGGCAAGAACCACCAGTGTTCTTGACCGCTGAGCCATCTCTCTGGCCCCTCAAAAAGATTATTAACTTGATCTATATAATAGATGTCTCCAGCAGATAATGTTTTCCTAGCAAACATTCAGATTCTATTTCTGAGTAATAATCTCACAGGAATTAAACTCCCGGCCTGGAGTGGTGGTGCACACCTTTAATCCCAGCATTTGGGAGGCAGAGGCAGACAGATCTCTGTGAGTTTGAGTCCAGCCTGGCCTACATAACGAGTTTGAGGCAAGTGGGGGCTACAGGGAGACCCTGTCTCAAAAAGACCCCCCAAAAAAATTCCACAGGAATTAAAGTTCTAAAAATTACACGCAAAAGATGATTTTCTTAAAAATACAAACTAATTATCCACTTTCAGATAGAAGTCTGATGGAGTGAAAATAAATCTACAAGTGAGCATAAGTAATGCTAACAATTGTGGCACTTAGTGAAACACTAAATCACTAAATTGGATTTAGAATAGGAGAAGCAAAACTGTTCTAAATGACCTTTAGAAATTTCACTCAGGGCAATGGTTCTTTACATTTAAAAAAAAAATTTTTTTTTTGAGACAGGGTCTCCCTGTAGCCCCAGCTGTCCTGGAACTCACAAGATGGACTAGACTGGCCTCAAACTCACAGAGAATGGCCTTCCTCTGCCTCCTGAGTGCTGGGATTAAAGGTGTGCATCAACACACCAGGCGGTTCTCCTATATTTATAAGAAGTAAAGTTTCACACCTGGAAAAATTCTGACAGCATATACATACATTATCAGAAATAAGTTGGACTCGATGTGTAATTATGAATGTAGCAGAACAGTACACAATACTTTTTGTATTAAAACAGACCATTACACAATTTACATGATCATGTGTAAGCACATAATACATGCTTGTTTAGCAACGTTAAAAAAAAAAAGGGCAAGGGACACTGCATTCAGTTTAGACCATATATCAGTAAACTCTCAGGACTGTCCCTGTCAGTTAAAGCAGAGGAAATAAAATGCAGAGAAGAGAGATGTAAAATCGCAGGGCTGGCAAGTCTACAACAGTCACAGCACTCACAAGAGCCTCAGAGCATTAAATACTCTTGTGGTGGCAATGCTACCCTAATCTCCATTATGAATCCCTCTGCATTGCAGACATTGGGGAATTTATACTAGAAAATAAATGTCCATGAGAAAGTCACAACAGGTGTACCTTAAATTTGTTATATAAAGATCCATGTCGTTTACTAACAAGTCTTTACCTGGCAACCCCTCCATAGTCAAGGCCTTCTTCTCCACGGAATTTTATCATTAATCGTTTCCAGAGATCTTTTGGTCTCATTTTCATGACCTGTCGATATGATTCCTGAAAAAATAATTTGAACATACTATCATCACTAGATGCTTTTAGCCTATGATTTAAATTCTTCTTCCCTCTCATTCACAAAACTAATTTAAACAAGGTAAAATCTGTACATTAAATCAGCAGGCTAATTTCAAATATTTTAAACTTCATAGAACTTTATTTATTTATTTAATTAATTAATTCATTTATTTTTTGAGACAGGGTCTCACTATGTAGCCCCAACTGGCTGAGAACTTGCTATGTAGAACAGACTCGCCTTGAACTCGGAGATCTGCCTGCCTCTACCTCCCAAGTGCTAGGATTAAAGGCATGCGTCACCATGCTTGCCTATCTTTCACAGAACTTTTTTTTACAATGTGTATAAGAGTCTTGCCTGGATGTATGTAAGTGCACCCATGTCATACCAAGCCCAAAGAGGCCAGAAGATGGCATCAGATCCCCTAAAACTAGAGTTGGAGATGGCTATTAGCCACCATTTGGATGCTGGGACTGAACCTGGGTATTCTGGAAGAGCAGGCAGTGTTCCTAACCACTAAGACATCTCTCTCTAGCCCCCTCTAGTATGAGTTTTATTAAATGAATGGTGAATTCCTGATAGGCAGATTTAGTAAACATGTCTCTTTCTAGAGCTCTGGGTTCAGGCAACTGTAGGTCTTAAGAGACAGTAGCAAAGGTGGCCTTGGTGAAGTTGCCCAGGGTGGTAGTGTAGCCCCTGGTAGACACGTAACAGTTGTCCATACCACCAGCAGCAGTTTCTTGAGCACAAATGCTGAAAAGATGCCATTGCCTCTGGGCATACCCAACAGGCTGTTACCTTGCTTTAGATGGTATGGGACTTGTTGATCTCGCTCCCACGTGGTCCTTCAATACCTTCTTTGTACCAGGACAACAATGAAGAGTTTTGTCTTAAGATGGTGACTCCTTAATGGTGGTGGCTATCCTATTGGAGCACTTAGCACCCATATCAATGGGACTATTGTAGTCTTCAATGGCAAAAACACCTTGAACCTGGTCTACTGGCCAGTGCAAGTCTGCTTCTACACTGCCTTTATCTTCACACCCTCACCCTTGAAAGATGCCCCAGGAAGAAATTAATCTTGGAATCTTCGATGAGTAGGGAGAAAAGAGAAATCAGTCAGGGACTTGATCTTTATGTCCTTGACCACATGGCCCACATGATGACAGGGATCCACTTCTTGTCTCAAGCCTTGCCTCCACAAGCCCTCAGGCCCTGACCATGACTGTGGTCCCAATCCCAGAATCCATTTGCGGAGCCAAAGTAGGGCCTCCCAAGCCTGGGCCCTACCACTGTACAAACATCACCAACCATTTGGTGTTTTCCAGGGAGAAGCACTTTATACACATGACAACAATAAGCAAGGCCAGAACTGTGATAAAAAAAGTTCACCTTTTGAGGAAAGGACTATCAAGTCCCCAAACATCTCTTATTCAAGAACCCTCAAATGAGTGGGAAATACCTGTTTTTGATCTCCACCACCCATTATGAAAAACTTTTGAAGCTTATATCAAGGCTCAAATCCAAAGATAAAAGTATGTATCACAAAGGAAAAAAAAAATTTTTTTTTGGTCTTTTTGAGACAGGGTCTCCCTGTAGCCCCAGCTGTCCTGGAACTCGCTATGTAGACCAGGCTGGGCTTGAACTCACAGAGCTCCACCTGCCTCTGCCTCCCAAGTGCTGGGATTGAAGGAGTGTGCCACCACGCCTGGCTACAAAGGAAAATTTTAAATAAATTAAGGAAGCAGTCCAATAGTTATGAGACTTTCTCTATAAAAGAATCTCTTACCCTTCAGAAGAATTAGAAAGTAAAAGATGAATACTTGAGGCCTTGTAAAAACTCACTAATGAGTATTTGTAATGTAGAGACCAAACTGAACCATCTGGCATTCTTTGTCACATTCAAGTGCTAATGTTTTGTGTTGTGTGTTGTGTTTTGAGACAAGGTCTCAAATAGCCACAGCTGGCCTGGAACCTGATATGTAGCGAAGGAAAACCTGATCTTCTGACGCTCCTGCCTCAACTTCCCAAGTGCTGGGATTACCGACATATGCCACATCCTATGCTCTTAAGTGCTTACCTTACAAATTAAGTCTAATATTATTGCCTTTGCTCCACAATGAACATGAAATTAATGAGAACATTCTCATTCTAAAGAGGTATGAGTCCCCAAAAAATTTGTACCAAAAAAAAAAACTCCACTAAATTTAATTTTCTTCTATTTTAAAATAGGGCTCATATATATGTATATATAAGTATATATGTATATAAGTATATATATATAAAAAATTATTATTTTTATTTTATGTGTATGAGTGTTATGCCTGCATGTAGGTAAGGGCACCTGTGTCGTCCAAATGCCCGAGGAGGACAGAAGAGGTTGTTGGATTCCCTGGAACTGGAGTTACGGACAGTTGTCAGCTGCCACGTGGGTGCTGGGATTCGAACCTGGGTCTTCTGCAAGAACAGTCAGTGTTCTTAACCACTGAGCAATCTCTCCAGTCCCAAGGCTTTTATATTTACCTCAAAAATCTCTTCCCTAGAAACTTCAATGCGGCAGTGGCCGGCCTGAGGCTGTTGCTGGGAAAGTTCTTGCCGCAAGATTTTCAGTTTCTGAACCAGGTCTCGCTTGTACCTCGGTGCCGTCAGACACTCGGTGTCATCAGGGCATAAGGACACCACTTGCTGTTGCTGTTGGTCTTTCAACTGGTTCTGACGACTGGAAATAAACAGAAATATTATCAAAGTATTTTGAACATAAAAGGTTGCAATTATACAGTTAAAAACAGTACCAGATTATAAAACAAATCTAGCATTTTCTAAGCCTTATTGGGGTATATCATTAGCCTGACAGAAATGGATAATGAAGTTTTATCCATAAAGTTTTATTCAGATGCTAAGAACAATTTTTCCTCTCCAGAATTCCATTATCTCTTTTAAAATTCAGGCAGATGCCAAGCACTGCTTTTTACCTAGTTTGTCTTTCTGGAAGAACCAAACAGGAATTAGAGTTAGCAGCTTGACAGAGACCTTTCCACCTACACCAGTTTCAGTACAGCCAAAAGAATGTGGTAGATCTGCCGTGCGTAGTGGTGAACACTTTTAATCTCAGCATTTGGGAGGCAAAGGCAGGCAGATCTCTGTGAGTTCCAGGCCCACCTGATCTATATAATGAGTTGCAGGTCAACCAGGGCTACATGGTGGAAGATCATGCACAAGTTATTGGCATAAAGAAATAAACACTTTGGGGTTGGAAAGATGTCTCAGTGGTTAAGAGCACTGGCTGCTCTTACAGAGGACCCGAGTTTGATTCCCAGCACCCACATGGCAGCTAACAACCATCTGTAACTCCAGTTCCAGAGGAATCCAATGCCCTCTTCTGACCTCTGCAGGCATTGCACAGCATGGGTGCACTTACACACATACAAGCAAGACACTCCTACACATAAAATTATAAAGTGACTTTTGTTTTGTGTGTGTAATAAAAATATACCCCAAATTTAGCATTTTAAACACATACATTTCAGTGGCACTAAGTGCATTTACACTTATGCTAAAGTGACTTTTAACTGCACATGTATGGTTAACAGTGTGAAAATCATCTCTCAAATGTATCACAAGTATAATAAAGGTACTTTACCTGGCCAAAAATATATATTCTCCTGAATATTAAAATGTTATTCTTCTGCATCTAAAATTTTTAAAGCTCCCTATGACCTAATGAAGTTATTCCAATAAAAAAGTTAATTTGTTACTGACATCTATGCAGACATTAAAATTAACAAAATCTCCCTTTCTCTCTCTCTGGCTGTCTTTTTGAGACAGCATGTAGTTCTGCTGGCCTGGAACTCACTATGTAGACCAGGTGGGTCTCAAATTCAGAGATCCACCTGCCTCTGCTGGATTAAAATCGGGTGTCACCATCCCCCGCTAGAAGATGGGATCTCTTGATCAAAAGGTGGCATCAGTGAAAAAAACACATGACAGTAACGTCAGAGCCTAACATGGTGGCTCATGTTTATAACCCTAGCATTCAAGAGTCTTTGGCAGGAGAACTGCTGCAAGTTCGCCATCAGTCTGGGCTATATACCAAGACACCATCTCGGAAAAAGAGGAAAAGAAAAGTGATTTCTAATAGAGCACTCAGATTGTTTACATGCCTAAAGTAACCAACTCAACAAAGAAAACAGCATTGTTCAAAGTGTAAAGTCACTATTCTTACTAATTACTCTTTCAAACACAATAAACATGTTATACACACCCAAAGTCAAAACAGAAAGCTATGTAAATATAAAGTATTTCTAAATAATTACATAATTCTATTTTTCAGCAATGGACTTAGGGGGCTACATATATAGCTTAACTCAAAATGAAACACAGACCTCAATGCAAAACACTAAACTTTTTTTTTTCGGTCTTTTTGAGACATGGTCTCCCTGTAGTCCCGGCTAACCTGGAATGCACAGAGATCTGCCTGCCTCTGCCTCCCAAGTGCTAGGATCAAAGATGTGAGCCACCATGCCTCGCCTAAAACACTAAACCTCTAAGCTGAGGGCAAAAATTTTTACAGTATGTTAGGCAATGATTTTTTTTTTTTTTTTGCAATAGCTTCTTAGTCACAATAAAGACACAGCCCATGAAAGAACAAATGAATAACTGAATGGCAAATTTTTAAGCAAGTTTTTGCTCTTCTGAAGACATTAAGAAACTGAAAAGACAAGTCATGGAAGAGAAAATCTTTGGAAAGCACATAACTGTATTGTTTATCTAAACAACAATCAAAACTAAACAAAATAATAACAAACAATTGGGTATGGTGGCACATACCTACAATCCCAGTACTTGGGAGACTAAGACAGGACTGTCATGAGGCTGAGGCCATTCTGGGTTACATATTACTACTACCCTGTCTCCAAAAACAAAACAAAACAAAACAAAAACATGTGGCTTAATTAAGGGTGGTGGCAGACATAGATTTCACCCAAGAACACAAATGGATGGTAAATAAACACATGGAAGGTGCTCAACATCACTTGTCAGAAGTGCACATTAAAACAATCAGGGCTGGAGAGATGGCTCGGTGGTGAAAAGTGTCTACTGCTCTTGCAAAGAACTTGAGTTCAATTCCTAGCACTGACATCTGGTGACTCATAACTACCTGTAACTTGAGCTCCAGGGGGATGAGATGCCTCTGGTCTCTCTGAGCACTACATTCACATGCACATACCCACACACAAACACACATACATAGAATGAAAAAACAAAACGAAACAAAAAACTTGAATAAGCTACCACCACATATTTACTGGGATGTCTAAAATTAACAAGGTTGACCATACCAAGTTTTAGCAAGGACAATAAAATAATGTGGTCATTTTCAAAAGCTACCTGCCAGTTTCTCTGAAAGTCATACATGGGGCCAGCAAGATGGTTCAGTAGGTTATGGTGCTTGCTTTCAAAGCCTGGCCGACCTGGGTTTGATCCCCAGAACCCACATAAAGGTGGAAGGAGAGAACCAACTCCACAGAGATGTTTCCTGACATTCACATGTGCATCATCACATGGTGCACTTACATACATGGAAGCAAAACACGCATACACATAAAATAAAAATAAAATGTTACAAAAATCTTTTTAAAAAGATACTCATATGCCAGAGTAAAGTATGTCATATTCAGATAAAATCTGGTTAAAAATAAATTACAGCCTGGCTTGGTGGCTAGTATCTGTAATTCCAGGTAGAAATGGAGGATCAGCTTGGGCTACACAGATAAATCAAAGCCAGCCTGGGCTATATAATTGAGATGCGCCCCCATCATAAACATAGATAAGTAAATTTTTAAAATTATAAATTGAAGAGAGTAGATATTCTTTCACATTTACTATAAAAAAATCACCTATATATTTCTTTTTGTTTATAGTGACATTATAATAGATACTGTTTCAAAAACTTACTTTAAAACTAAATGCAAATTAGCAGAAAGCCGAGGATCTGTGAATTGTGTTGTTCTGTTGTTATGGTCAACAAAATAAACTCTGCCTGTTGCGGTGTTACGGATCTCCCATCCAGGAGGCAAAGGACCAAGCTCTTCACAATTGATGTTGCTAAGATCCCTGCAAAAACAAATATAAAATAAAAAATACCGCACTGCTTGTTCTGCTGAGCCAAGCAAGTAAAAATGGCACAGAACAATTCCATGAAGTCTGAGAAAATGTATTGTTTCAGAAACTTGAGATGTTCGGCTGGAATCTTTAATTCCCAATGGTTTCACAAACTTGCATATTCAAAGTCCAATCCAAAAATGGCTCAGAACTTATCACATAGCCTGCATTTTTAGCAAGTATGTTCCTAGGCATTAATGTAATATGCATTTTAAATTAATATAAAAGCAGTCATAACACTTGTCAACATAAACTATATTTCAATATTTGTTTGACAGAAAATATCATTTTACAAGTGTCAGAGATATAAGGAATTAAATGTTTTCTAAAACTTCTCTTCAATTTTTTTCTTTCTTTACAACATCATAAAGTTAGTATAAACAAATGTGCATTCCATGAGTAATTTTAAACTTTCCAAGAAAGCAAAATTGGAAATAATATTAAAATTATGATTTGTGAAAATAATCACAGCATATTTTATAAGCTAACTACTTGGCTTTGAATTTTGAAATCTATAGAGAACGAAAACCTGGTTAAGACACCTAAGAAGAATGCTGTAAGGCTTAATGCGACAATGAAGAAAAACTGATACTTTTAATAGACTGAAGATCATACCATTCTGTATAAAGATCTGTAAGACCTTCAAGAAGGAGATGAAGAACTTACAAGCTGTTGAACACACGGAAGTGGCAAGTGGGGTGGTATGCTCAGGGGTGCATGAAGTTCCCTGCTCCTCCCTGCAAATCTGGTCCTATGCATTATTCCTTTTGGCTGTTCACAAACCACCATCAAGACTGCAATTTTTTTTTAATTTTTTTTATTATTTTGGTCTTTTTGAGACAGGGTCTCTCTGTAGCCCCATCTGTCCTAGAACTCACTATGGAGACCAGGCTGGCCTTGAACTCACAGAGATCCACCTGCCTCTGCCTCCCAAGTGCTGGAATTAAAGGCGTGCACTACCACGCCTGGCTCAAGATTGCAATTTTTTATCCCCTGCATTGCAAGAACAAAACCTGCCACAGTGACAATTCCAAAGAGTTCAAGTTGCTACTGGCTTCCAAAGGACAGTGAAGTCACTGGGTTCAGTGAAACTCCCCCCACCTCCCCCACAGAACCTGCATGTAGAAATGAACACTATGCTGAGGTCACTGCCAGCTCTCAAACTGCTTGAAACAGCAATTTTCATTTTAGTTTATAGTGATCCCAGAGACTCTTCTGAGACAAAACAACTAAAGTGAAGAAGAAAATAAAATCCTGCAATAGAGGCAAAGAAAGCTCCAAAAATTCTCCTCAAATTAACAAAAAAGAACTGAGTTGGTGCTGCTACCTAAGTGGCAGCTGGTGAGAGACACAGGTCAAGCAGCAAGGTTGAGAAGGAAAATTCAGAACTTCAGTGAGAACTCAAAGGGGGTGAATTGGTTCCAGGAAAACTTTTTGGATTCCCATCTTAGGTTCAGAGAATCCCAACTAATTAAGATCAAATAATATGTAGGCATGGTGACATACACCAATAATCCCAGCACTCAAGAGTATGAAGAAGTAGGAAGAGGACAAGTTCAGGCCCAGCCTGGGCTACACACCAAAAGTTTATCTTTAAAAAAATTCCATTTTGGGCTGGAGAGATGGCTCCACAGTTAAGAGGACTGGCTCTTCTTGCAGAGGACCCGGGCTTGGTTCCCAGCAGCTATCAACTGTCCCCAACTTCAATTCCAGGGGATCCAAAACTCTACAACCTCTGCAGGCACTGCATGCACATGGTATACTTACATGCAGGCAAAACACTCATACACAGAAAATAAAAATAAAGACAAATTTTTTAAAATTCAAGTAATAAACTCACAACCTAAGATCAACAAACACTTTAGAAGGACAATCACTGTGTTAGCTGTAGCAACAGTAAGCTACAGAATTAGACCTCCAAGTACTATAGGGCCCAAAGGAAAACAGTTACAATGCGATGATTGAAATAATAAAAAGGTCCAAAAAGTACAATCGTAAAAGGGTCGTCAGGAGTGGTGGCACAGCACTCGGGAGGCAGAGGCAAGCCGACCTCTGTGAGTTCAAGGCCAGTCTGGTCTACATAGTGAGTTCCAGGCCAGCTGGGGCTACAGGGAGACCCTGTCTCAAAAAGACAGAAAAAAAAAAAAAGTCACCAATAAAAGATTATTTAAAATGAACAGGTAGATAGCTATATTCTTAGATGGAACTTTTAGAAGTGGAAAACAATGACTTAAGTCAAAGGACAAATAATTCTAATGATACAATGTATAATTCTATTTTTAAATAATTTTATTTTGAATAAAACACTGATTAAAAGAATAGAAAATGAAAACTGGGTGTGGGGGCACACACCTTTAATCCTAGCACTTGGGGGGCAGAGGCAGGTGGATCGCTGCAAGTTCGAGGCCAGCCTGGTCTACATAGTGAGTTCCAGGCCAGCTGGGGCAAGAGGGAGACCCTGGCTCAAAAAGGCCAATCAATCAATAATAAATAAATAAATATATGTTACATATAAAATAAATACAAATGAGGGGCTGGAGAGATGGCTCAGTGGTTAAGAACAGTGGCTGCTCTTGCAGAGGACCTAAGTTTGATTCCCAGGACCTACATGGTTGCTAACAACCATCTGTAGCTCCAGTTCCAAGGGATCCAATACCCTCTTCTGATGTCCGCAGGCATTGCACAACATGGGGACACTTACTACACACATGCAGGCAATACATTCACACACATAGAAAACAATAAATAAAATTAAAAAAAAATTAATACAAGTAAGCCAAGCATGGTGGTGCATGTTTTTAATCCCAGCATTTAGGAGGCAGAGGCAGGTGGATCTCTGTGAAATCAAGGCCAGCCTGGTCTACATAGTAAGTTCCAGGCCAGCTGGGGCTACAGGGAGACCGTGTATCAGGAAGAAAAAAAAAATTGTCAATACTCAACATAAATTTTTTGTTGTCTGAAGGCAGAATCTCACTATATATTCTAGGCTAACCTGAAACTTATGATCTTCCTGCCTGTTTCCTTGAGCAGAGGCAGGATTAAATGTGTAGCATAACTATGCCAGACCCTTAAAGTATTTTTCTGTTTTATATTTTAAAATTTATTGTGTGGGCTGGAGAGATGGCTCAGCAGTTAAGAGCACTGACTGCTCTTGCAGAGGACCCGGGTTCGATCCCCAGCACCCACATGGCAGCTATAAACCGTCCTTAACTCCAGTTCCAGGGGACTGCGAAGCCCTCTTCTGACCTCCGTGGCATTGCATGACACGGTGCACTTACATACATGCAGGCAATACACTCATACACATAAAATAAAAATAATAAAATATATAAAAAATTTATTGTGTATGTGCATGTGCCTGAGCTTTCGAGAGCCATTTAATTTTTATTTAATTTTTAAAATTTTTTAAAAATATTTTAATTAAAAAAAAATTTTTTTACAGAGCATAGGGTAGGAGTTATTTACAGAAGAGTGGGCACCCCACATTTACAGCTGTGCCATAAAGCCCACACTCAAAATACAGATCCTGTGACCTCCCAACAGCTGCACAAAATGGTGAGAGAGGTGCCTCTTGATGTTCTTGGCTTATATATCCTTTACCCCTCTGAGAGAATCTACAACAGGCAACCTGCAAGAGTCAGTTCTCTCCTGTCATCATGTGGGTTCTAGAGACTGAACTTGGATCACTGGGCTTTGCAGCAAACACCTACACCTGCTAAGCCTACTCTCAACATAATATATTCTTAATTTTAAAGAGTTGTTCCTGATGACACATGCCTGCAATCCCAGCACTTAGAGGAGGCAGAAACAAGAGGCTTAGGACTTCAAAGCCATCTTTGACTCCAAAGCAAGTTCAAGGCCACTGACACACCTGAGTTGAGGGAGCCTCAATTGGGGAATTGCCTCTATTGTACTGGCCTGTGGCCATATCTGAGAGGTATCTTCTTGATGAGTAATGTGGGAGGGCCTAGCCCATTGTGGGTGGTGCCACCCCTGGGCAGGTGGGCCTGTGTTGTATAAAAAACAGGCTGAGCAGGGGCCAGGGGAGCAAGCCAGTAAGCAGCGTTCCTCCATGGCCTGTGCTACAGCTCCTGCCTCCAGGTTCCTGCCCTGAGTCCCTACCTTGGGGTCCCAGATGAACTGTGACCCAGGATACGTAAGATAAATAAACCCTTTCCTCCCCAAGTTGGTATTGGTCACAGTGTTTTGTCACAGCAATGGAGAAACAAACTAAGACAGCCACCCTCATCTATATATGATTGTCTTAGGAAAAAAAAAAACAACAACAACAAAGACATGCTCGCCTTTATAGAAACTCCTTAAGCACGGATGAAACACTGGCTTGGACCCTTAGAATGAAGAGCAATAGGAGTGTTGAAATCTATCTAGTTTCTTATGTTGCCAGCATAGGTCCTATTCTTTCAACAGAATAACTTGGGATCAACTTCTATTATAAATCAGTTTTAAAAGAATCACTTTTCTGATATTTTGTAACAAAGCCATTAAATAACTTTAAAAAAACTCAGTTACATAAACTTTGATATACAGAATCTGCATACTTCTTTTTATAATTTAACAAAACACTGAGTTCTAAAATTTAGTTCCTTGGATTTTAGTGAGCTTAGTAAAAATAAATATAAAACTCCCCCCACTACTACTACTTTTAAATATTTGTGTGTGTGCACACATACACACGTGTACACACTCACAAGCACATGTGTACCACTGGGCACACATGGAGGTCAAAGGACAACTCTAGGAGTTGATTCTCTCTTGTCAGCATGTGGGATCCAGAGATAAAACGCAGGTGTCAGGCATGCATGAAGTGTATCTACTCTCTGAACCATCTTGTTGGCCCTCCACTACTTTTTGGCAAAAATTTTACATGTATGAATGTTATGACTGCAAGTGTGTTAAGTGCACCATGTTGTGCAATGCCCATGGAGGACAAAAGAGGCTGTCAGAGCCCCTGGAACTGGAGTTATGGACAGTTGTTAGCTGCCATGTCGATGCTGGGATTTTGCAAGAACAGCCAGTGCTCTTAACCACTAAGCCATCTCTCCATCTCTCTTCTTTTTTAAAGACTTATTTATTTACTACATAAGTTTATGAATAACATCTGTGTGCAGGAGCTCATGAAGGCCATCCAGAAGAGGATGCTGGATAACATGGAACTGGAGTTTCAGACAATATTTAGCCATCATGTACGAGTGCTTAGAACCCAAAGCCAGTGCTCTTCAAGAGCAACAAACGCTCTTACCCCTTAATCACTCCAGCCCTCCACTACTTCTTAGATGCTAACATTGTCAAAACACAGAAATGTCAACCATGCTACATAATTATTAATAGCACTTTCTGGGTTGCCACCCTCAAAAAATTCTAACTATATAACAAAAAAAAAAAAATTTTTTTTTTTTTTGGTCTTTTTGAGACAGGGTCTCCTTGTAGCCCCAGCTGGCCTGGAACTCACTATGTAGACCAGGCTGGCCTTGAACTCACAGAGATCCACCTGCCTCTGCCTCCCGAGTGCTGGGATTAAAGGCGTGCGCCACCACGCCCGGCTTCAACAAAAATATTTTTATTATAACCATTTTTGTTTATAACTAAATACACAGTATCAAAGCAACCCTACCCTAGATCAGCTAGTTCCATCTGTTTTTGATTCAACCTACATGACAGAGGTCTGAATAAGTTTTAGAAAGACCTTTTTATTATTTTTATTTTATGTATACGAGTGTTTGGCTTGCACATAAGTGCACCATGTGTATGCAAACCCATGGAAGCCAGAAGAGGGAGGCAGATCCACCAGAACTGAAGTTACAGACAACTGATAGCTGCCATGTGGGTGCTGGGAACTGAATCCAGGTCCTCTGTAAGAGTATCCAGTTCTCTTAACTGCTGAAGACTCTCTAAGATTTCTTGATCCTCTGTGAATAGTTCTGTTTGTTTCTTAGAGGCGATTGGCATTTTATATATAAATTACCTTCATAAAACATACATGCATGACAGGGTTGATTTAGAATTTTAGCCTTTTGTAAGCCGGGAAGCAGAGGCAGGTGGGTCTCTGTGAATTCGATTGAGGCCAGCGTGGTCTCCATAGCAAATTCAGACCAGCTTTGGCTACAGGGAAACCCTGTCTCAAAAAGACCAAAAAAAAAAAAAGAATTTTAGCCTTTTTGTGTCTTCAGCTAGACTACTTGGTACTTTGCACCAATTCATTAGAAAATAACTCAAAATAAGCAAAGTATGAAAAAGTCATTATTTGAAACATAAATGAATTCAGAATTACAATAAATTACTGGGCACTCAGGATGTTGAGGTGGGCGAATCACCTAGATCCCAGGAGTTTCGGACTAGCTTAGACAAAAAAAAAAGCAAAAAAGCAGAATCATAGCTCCAAGTTATTAAACTAATATGTATATCTTCCCCCTCCACCTAACCATTGTCCTCTTCTGGCCTCAAATGCTCAGTTCTCCTGTCTGAGTCTTTGGAGTGTTGGGAGCATACTGTGTGTACAAGATGTCTCTCTTCTACTGTCCTTTATTTTTTTCACTGATCTAGTTTTTAAAAGGTATGTTTTTCCAGAAGCTACTTTTCAAACTCCTAAAGACATGCATTTTGCCCCACATTTTTTAAGGGGGTCAAGGGACGTAGGCTGAAGATTGGCAGGGGACTGGGGTGAGACTACAGAGAATTATTTAGACTTTCTACTGTCTATCACACCAAAACGACATCAGAAAGAACCAAACTTTTATATAAACTATATTTAGAAATGAAATACTTTTAAAAACAAGAAATCATAGGTGGAATGGATATGTGTGATATGAAGAGTACTTAAAAGACATTCTTACCTAGGTACTCGTGGATCATGCCATGTGCTCACACCAGTCTGAGTATGTAAGAAATATACCTGACCCTGTTGTGTTGTCCTCTGTTCTGTAAAATAAAGAAAACTAGTCATGAAAACACAGCTTTTTACATTCAATCAAACACCATTACTTTGGACAATATGGTAACAGAAAAAAAGTATCTCTGAACTGCAGCTTATTTTCTTATAAGAAAAAAAATGCCTTCACAAATAACTTTTTCAGCACAAGCTTTTAATCCTAGCATTTGAGAGGCAGAGGCAGGTAGTCTATATAGCAAGTTCTAGGTCAGCCAGGGATATACAATGAAACCCTGTCTCAAATAACAAATCATTTTATTCAGTCTCCTGGAAGCCACTTTATAAAATGATGATGTATAGGCTAGTAACCTAAACCTCAGAGGAAGAGGCTGGTCAGTTTAGAGAGGATTCAAGTGGGATTTTAGAAATTTAAGGATCTGGACATTAATGGGGATTCTGGGGGTTTTTTTTTTGTGGTTTTTTTTTGAAACAGGGACTCCCTGTAGCCCCAGTTGGCCTGGAAGTCATTATGTAGACCAGGCTGGCCTTGATCTCACAGAGATCTATCTGCCTCTGCTTCCTGAGTGCTGAGATTAAAGGTGTGTGCCACCCTGCCTGGCCCCTTTGTTTTGTTTTTTGAGACAGGGTCTCTCTGTAATCCCTGCTGGCCTAGAACTCACTATGTAGACCAGGCTCACCTCAATTTCACAGAGATCCACTTGCTTCTGTGTCCCCAGTGCTGGGATTAAAGGTGTGTGCTACCATCTCCAGCCCTAATGTTTTTTATTATGCCAATTTAACACCAAAATGTGTGCATTCTCTTTTCTTAACAAGCTATACCAAGATTAAACTTGTGCTCCAGGCATGATATTGCATACCTGTTGTCCTAGTACTAAGGAAGCAGAAGCAATAAGACCAGAAGTTCAAATCTAGTCTGGGACACCTAGCAACTTCCAGACCAGACTAGGGTATGTAAGTGAGACCCTATCTTTAGATAGACAGACAGACAGACAGACAGACAGACAGATAGATAGATAGATGATAGATAGAGAGAGATAGAGAGAGATAGATAGAGATAGATAGATAGAGATAGATAGATAGATAGATATAGATATATCTCCAAAAGAGAGATAGAGAGAGATAGATAGAGATAGATAGATAGATAGAGATAGATAGATAGATAGATATAGATATATCTCCAAAATGTACATTGTCTAACCATAAACAGGAAAAAACGTAATTTTAAACACATTGGGAAGAAGAAGAGTACACAGTGGAGAGAAAAAAAAACATCAAAAGTTGAAATGAACTCAAAGCCTTTGGAAGGGAGTCAAGAAGCCACAGTAAAGAGAAGAATCAGTAAGCAGGTTTTGTTTTAAGCATAAGAATTAGTTTTCCTGTAGTAACAAAATCTGTGAAATTTCAAAATATAAGACAATAAAACTATTACACTATTTCCAAATAGTGCAAAATTTCAATATATAAGATAATAAAACTATTGCTAATATTAGTGTAAACTATATTTATAAATTCATAACAAAAATCAATAAACAACTTCAAACTTAAAGAAATAGATAAAAACCTTTAAATTCAGTCTTAAATGACAGCTGGAAGAAGCTCATGGACAGGACTGCTGCCAGCAGGCATGAGGCCAGCGTGCCAACCAAGCACTGGAGTAGGAAAACCCATTGCTAACACCACAATCATTTCAGCCTCAATGGCACTTTATTCCTGTGCTCTAGTCTTATCAAAAACATATGAATCCAAACAACACAGATACTGTAAAAATGCAGCAACCTTTATACCAAAGAGCCTGGCTTATAGAATCTCCAGAAAAATGGTGGGAAATAGTCAATGCTAAGATCTGAGCATTATTTAATAGTAACATAAATTTTACCAAGCACTTGCTTTTTATGCCAGACACTGTTACACATTTTACATGAGGTTATAGTGTTTATTTCTTGCAACAAACCTACATGGTTTTTACCATTATTCTTCTCATTTTGTATAAAATAAAATGTAAGAATAATATGCTCAGATACAGGGCAAATCCAGATTTGCCAGTTCCCCATACTGGAATCACTCCCTGTGTGATGAGCCAATTTTTAAGACATAGCAGTTAGTGGAAGCTTTTTTTTCAAATTTAAGAACTTTAAAAAAAATTAATCATTCATTTGCAGAACAGTTTTTATAAATATTCTAGAGTAAAAATAAAATACAACTTAGAAAATGTAATTCCCAGTTTGGGTCTTTAGGTGTCACCATCAGCTAAAAGTCTTCTATAGTGTTAAGAGGGTAAGGACGTATTTGTCCAAAAAAAATATCACAATGAAGGTCTAACTTAAGATTAACCTTTATTAGCAATATGGTCATACTATTTGCAAAGTAGTCTCATTCAATTCCATACATTTCCTATAATAACTATGTGATTGAATATCCATCACATTTTTAAAAATATTTTATTATTTTTATTTTATGTGTATGCGTGTATTGCCTGCATGTAGGTAAGCACACCCGTGTCATGCAATGCCCACGGAGGACAGAAGAGGCCGTCGGATCCCTGGAACTGGAGTTACAGACAAGACAGTTGTTAGCTGCCATGTGGGTGCTGGGATTTGAACCCGGGTCTTCTGCAAGAACAACCAGTGTTCTTAACCACTGAGCCATCTTTCCAGCCCCTATTCATCACATTTTATTATAAATGAATACAAAAGGTAAGATTCATAAATGACTATCCAAAGGTCAAAGTGTTAGTTAAATAGTCTTCTAACCATTTCAAAGGCTTTTCCAACTTGCGAGGTTTCACATTTACTTTCATTTTCAAGCAGAATCCTTAAACCCAGATTAGTAACTCTCCTGTCTCTCCTCTCCCTCTCTCCCTACTCTCCTTCCCTCCTCACTCCTTCCCTCTACTCTCTTTTTCCCTGCCCCCACTCTGTGCTCAAGTTGAACACAGGGTCTTGAACATGTTAGCAAGCACTCCACCATTAAGCTAAACTCCCAGACCTTAGCAACTTTCAAACATTGATATTCTAAAACAAGCAGAGTAGGGTGGTGCACACCTGTCATCCCAGTATGTAGGAGGTGGAGGCAGGAATATCAGCTGTTCAAGGCCAGTCTGGGTACACTGTGAGTTTGAGGCCAGCTTGGGTTGCACAAGACCCTAACAATAAACAATAGCAGCAACAAAGTTTTCTGCCTTCAATCAAACCAAAAGTCTTCTTTTACTAGTTGTCATACCGTAGCCTTCTGGTAGATCAGGAGGAGTGTGTAAGTGTGTCCTGCTCATGTAATTTCTATGTCGTTGGGACCTCACTCTTCTCTCTGCTAGTCTAGGATCCAAAGACTGTCCACATGTTGCACCGTTTGTTCCACTAATTGGAGTGTTCTCATCAACAAAGCAGCTAAGAGGTCTGCCAGGACTAGAATATTCAGATGCAGGTCTATAAAAAAGTGACAAGGAAAAAATGTTCCCAATTTATACATCAAAAGTAGAGTTCTCTAGACAACATATATCCTATAGTAACAGTTATGTAAGAAAATGAGGTGACTAAAACAATGCTTTTAAGAACTGTTAAAAAGCAAGTCTGAAGTTCTTATGGGACACAGTAATAACGATGCCAATTAAGTCTTTAAATGATTTTATATTTATTTCAATTATATTTTATATAAAATCCATACATACTTGTAGGCCTAAGTACTAGGTTACAAAGCACAATGATATTAATAGGGGCTGGAAAGATGGCTCAGCAGTTAAGAGCACTGGCTGTTCTTGCAGAGGACCTGAGTTTGAGTCCCAGAACCCACATGGTAGCTAACAACCGTCCTTAACTCCAGTTCCAGGGGATCTGATGCCCTCTTCTGACCTCCTCAGGCACTGCACAACATGGGTGTACTTACATACATGCAGGCAATACATTCATACACATTTTTTTTAAAAAGCACAACGACGTTAATAAAGACTACCTGTTAGATTTGATTTTCCGCCATTCTCCCTCCCACCTAATAGCTTCTTGCCAAGATGTTCTTACTTCTTAAATCTGTCAAAATCATCTCACCTTTAGTCCTTGGAGCAGAGCCTCTTCTTTCCACCTGGAATATGGGCTTGGTCCTATTCGCCCTAGGTCTGGCTCTTTGCTACTCAAAACACAGTTTATGCTTAAACACTGACTCCTATGAACTCTTCCAATGTAAAGAACTCACCCTATCATTTGATAGTACAGATGGTCCCCAACTTATGGTGTTTCAACTTAGAATTTGTGTTGGTTTTTGGGTGAGTCTCGCTCTGTAGCCAGGGCAGCCTTGCATTCACAGCAATCCACCTGCCTCAGTCTCCTGAGTGCTAGGATTACAGGTGTATCGGGGTGATCAATCTCATATATATATATATTTTTTTTTTTGACCTTACAAAATGGTGCATAAACCATCAGAAGACAGCAGTTCAAATTTTTGCTTTTTTCTGGGCTAGCGTATGATATACATGGCATGGACACTTTCAAAATGCTGGGCAATGGCCTAGGCATGGTAGCTCATACCTTTAATCCCAGCACTGGGGAGAGATAGGCAGGTGGATCTCTGTGAGCTGGAATCTACCCTGACTTAGGCCAGCCAGGGCTGCAAAGTGAGACCCTGACTCAAACAAAACAAAAACAAAACCCACACAAAAACAAAAATTTTGCAACTCAAAATGCCTAGCAACAGCAGATCAGTAAACAATGGTTACGCTACAGCACATTTTATTATTAAGCTATATTTGGAAGAATATGCATATTAAATACAAATTTTTGATTTAATGGTACTTTAACTTACAATTCCTTTTTGGACATAATCCCAATTATTATATCATGAATCACTACAGAGATGGAGATGGCTCAGCGGGTAAGAGCTCTGGCTGCTCTTGCAGAGGCCCCGGGTCCTGTCTGTTCAATCTACTCATTTAAGTATTTGCTGAATACCACTGAAAGTCATGGAGCTACAGTAAGAGGAAGACCTGTGAAAACAGTCTTCACGGAACATTTTTAATAATTATTAAAAAAAAAATAGTACTTGTTCTAAGACTTTCTAAGATTCAGGTTTATAACAGTATAACCAATAGGGAAACTCAAGCAGAAGTGGTAGATAAAAGGAAAGGGAACCCAGGCAGGTGACCAGCACAGACCACAGGAAATATGCTCATGTTTTTTTTTTTTTTTTATTGTTAAACAACTTAGATGTCCATCAACTGATGAATGGATAATGAAAGTGTGATATGTGTACACAATGAAATATTATTCAGCTGCTAAGAAAAATAAAAATTTTTTAAATTTCCACTAACTGAATCTAATTGGAAACAGTCATCCTAATGAGGTAACTAAGACCCAGAAAGACAAATGTCACATTTGTCTTCTTTCTCGTAAATGAATTCTAGCCTTGAATCTTTCAGTACGGTGTTTCATTTGGAAAATCCATAGAGGTCAGGAAACTAATAAGGGGTCATGGGAGGGAGGAGATGGGATTCAATGATTACAAAGAATGAAAGGGAAATAATGGGATAGAAAGCATTTATATGTTGGGGAATGAAAAAGCAGGGTAGAAGAGCAAGTAAGGAGAAGGATAACTAATACTAAAGGCCTTTGAAAAAGTCATTTGGAAACCTACTACTACAGAAACTTCTTAAATGTGTGTGTGTGTAAAAGAGTTTAAATGTAGTTACTCTCTGATAGGAAAAATGTTGGAGAGAGCGAGCAGATGGAGGAAGGCACTGAGGCACAGATAGAATTCTCAGCGGGATACAGCTTTATTTCACATGGGGCACCTTTCCGTCGGGGAAGGGAAAGATGTCAGGGAAGGGAGGGATGTCAGGGAATGGAAGGGAAAGATGTCAGCGAAGGGCAGGGAAGGGAAAGATGGAAGGGAAGGGAAGGGAAGGGAAGGGAAGGGAAGGGAAGGGAAGGGAAAGATGTCAGTGAAAGGCAGGGAAGGGAAAGATGTCAGCGAAGGGCAGGGAAGGGAAAGATGTCAGCAAAGGGAAGGGAAGGATGTCAGGGAAGGGAAGGGAAAGATGTCAGGGAAGGGAAGGGAAAGATGTCAGGGAAGGGAAGGGAAAGATGTCAGGGAAGGGAAGGGAAAGATGTCAGGGAAGGGAAGGGAAAGATGTCAGGGAAGGGAAGGGAAAGATGTCAGGGAAGGGAAGGGAAAGATGTCAGGGAAGGGAAGGGAAAGATGTCAGGGAAGGGAAGGGAAAGATGTCAGGGAAGGGAAGGGAAAGATGTCAGGGAAGGGAAGGGAAAGATGTCAGGGAAGGGAAGGGAAAGATGTCAGGGGGGAAGCAGGTAGGATTAGGGTGTGGAAGTGTTTACTTTTTCCCTCTTAAGATAAGAGAAAAACAGCTTCTAAAATCTCTGGTTATCAGGTAGAATCTGCTTATCCTATCTTTGGAGGTCAGAGGAAAGGCAGGCTGCTTCTCAACAGAGTTTGTTTCCCTTGACTTCAAAGGTCAAAGTGCTTATCAGCTAAGTTCCCTTTTTCAGGCTCCAAAGTCTGTAGGTCCCTTTTGGGGAGGGGGGGAAGCTGCTGCTGTTTGGAACCCTAACATTCCAGCCTTTTGTGTTATAGGATGGGGGTGCCGTTGTAATCTTGCTACTTCCTGCTGGACAGGGTCGACGTGGGGGGTAGGCTGGTTTAGGGGAATATGCTCATGTTTTTACCGTGTTGGGCGTTCCCATTGTGTAGTTCTTGTTATGTGGTTTAGATATTGGATTCTTCCAGAGGCAGTTCGCCGTTCTTCCCAGCTTAAATAAAAATAAGGCATTAATACGGGTCAGCAGGAAAGTGGGACATAGATTATTTTCAGTGCAATAACTAAGCCAGGCAAGTTTCTGCTAACACAAATCAGAAAAGTCAAACAGAAAGCAGTTCACAAATAAGTTGTTTTTGTTTTCTCTTTTTTTCAACTTGTTTTAGAACTGCACAATATAGCTTACAGAATTCTAAGCTTCAAAGAATTTATACTGAGGTAATATTTACTATCGGCCAAACTGAGATTTCATGAAATGAAACACCATGGCACACATGCATCCATACACATAAATGCAAATAAATTTAAAAATGTAATAATAATTTGAGTCAAGAGTAAACCAATTAATATCTACTTTAAGAGGATGCAATTTATTGTAAGTTATACCACACTGAAGTTAACTAAAAATATTTAGAAATGTAAAAAAAAAAAATTAGTGAAGTATCAGAATTAGTATAAAAAATAAAGAATAGTGATAAAGATCCTAAGCTTAGAATCTAGACTTAGGCTTAGGCTCCATCTCTCCCACTTATTATATGCGCCTTTAGGCAAATTACTTATCTGAGTGTCCATTTTCTGTGCAACAGAACTATTAAGCACTTGCTAAGTGCAAGACACCTGAGCACGTTCTGTGGATGAGTTCATCCAGCCCTTTTAACACTATGGAGTATGGATTATGGCCAATCATCCCTTTAAATAAATATACACCAAGATTTACAGAAGTACAATAAATTAAGGTCATAATGTCAATAAACACAAGAGTGAGGACTGAAGCCCAGGTGGTCAAATTCTAGAATCATATTCTGCCTTCTAAGATGCCATGAGAATTAAGTGTCATAATGTACATAAACTGCTTAGAACAGTTTTTGACATATATATGCTCAGTACATGTTACAACGTTATAATATTATTACCCAAATTCTCTTTTCTACCACCACGCCTGGTGGGAATTCTTTTAAAAATGAAATTTAATGGGCTGAAGAGATGGCTCATCGGTTAAGAGCATTGACTGCTCTTACAGGACCCAGGTTCAATTCCCAGCACCCATATGGTGACTAACAACAGTCTATAACTCCAGATCTGACACCTTCTTCTGACCTCATCGGGCATTGCAGGACATGGGTACATTTACACACATGTAGGCAATACAGTCACACACATAAAATTTTTAAGAAAAATGAAATTTAACACATTTAATTCATGGCTTTATTGTTGAGACAGATTGTTTTAATTCTCCAAGGAGGAGGAAAACCTATATTCTAGAACTGACCATAGCAAATTTCTAAAGTACAAAATAAATACCAACCTATTTCTTACTAAAGGACAATATCTCTATATTTCTATAATCATTTTTACTGATGTTAGCTTACCCATCTGGTAAATCATTGTCAAACAAACGACTGCAATCCACAACTTGTCCTCCGGTGCCTATTCGGTCTCTGGACTGAAGACTTACTATTAAACAAAAACTTTATTAAGACTGTGATAGTTCTTTCTTGTTCTGTCAAAATATTCATTTTAAGCCAAATGTAGTAGTGCATACCTATAATCCCAGCACTCAGGGGGCTGAGGCAGAAGGATTTCTGGAAGTTTGAAGACAGCCTGGGATTCAAAGCAAGTTTAAGGCCAGCCTGTACATATTGAGCCCTTGTCTCAGAAAATCAAAATAATAACAAAATGTAGACTAGTTTAATACTTTAGAATGACTGGGCTGAAGATGTAGCTCAGTGGTAGAGTACTCATCTAGCACACATTAGGCTCTGAGTTAAATTTCCAGGACTGCAAAAACAAAATAACAGAGGAGTTTAGAATGAACTAAAATCTTTAACTCCTTTTCCCAAATAATTCTCTCTTTGGAAGTTATATCAGCATCAAAGTTGTCTATACTTTGTCATATTTACAGGGGAAGAGCCTGTGTCTTTTTGAACATCAGAACTGGGTAGCAGAAAGTAACTCTGTGTACTTAAGAAGATACATAGAGCCAGGTGTGCTGGTGCATGTCTTTAGTCCCAACACTGGAGAGACAGAGGCAGGCAGATCTCTGAGAGTCCCAGGTCAGCTAGGACTACGTAAGAGACCCGGTCTCAAAAAACCAAACCAAAACAAAAAGATGTATAGCACATCAAGTGGATATACATGTTCAGAGGAGTTTGCAAATGTCACATTAATTTGGGTTTCATTCTTGATAATCTACCACCTTTAAACACACACACACACACACACACACACACACACACACACACACTGGATTCTGGCAATAGGGACCTTGGATCATTTGAGGGATTTTTTTAAATTTTTATTTATTATTTTTATTTTATGTGTGTGTGATATTGCCCGCATATATGGAAATGTGCCCATGTTGTGCAATGCCCTCAGAGGTCAGAAGAGGGTGTCAGATCCCCTGGAACTGGAATTACGAATGATTGTTAGGGGCCATGTGGGTGCCGGGAACCAAACCCTGGTCCCAATGCTCTCCAGCCCCAGATCATAAGAGTTTTAACAGCATGTCATAACCCAATGTAGTATAAAATTACCACTGAGCAGTTGGAAGCAGGAGAGACAGGCTCTAGAGGCAGCTCTACCAATTAGCTTAGCACTGGTACACCTAATTCACATAAGGTTTACATAGTCCCAGGCTAAATAATGAGGAAGTTAGTTTACATGATATGCTTTTTTAATATTTTATTATTTTAATTTTATGTGTATGAGTGTATTGCCTGCATGTATGTGCGTGCACCTGTGTCGTGCAATGCCACGGAGGTCAGAAGAGGGCTTCGGATTCCCCTGGAACTGGAGTTAAGGACGGTTCATAGTCGCCTCGTGGGTGCTGGGAATTGAACCTGGGTCCTCTGTAAGAGCAGTCAGTGCTCTTAACCGCTGAGCCATCTCTCCAGCCCCTACATGATATTTCTAAAGTCCATCCTTCTTGTTCAAATATTCCTTAAATCTATTTCTGGCAACTTTTCAAAAGCTAGAAGAGATATACCTAAACTTGTCTGCATATAACTTTAAACAAAATTAGTAAATTAGCACATGTAATATGATATCTAAGGTCTCTTCATTCAAAGCAAGATCTCAAAATTCTATTCTTTAAATTGGAGAGAGGGTGTTGTTATTTTGTTTTGTAGATTTGGGGGGTGGGGGAGTTTTCTTTTTGATTTTGTTTTTTTTGAGACAGGGTCTCTCCGAGGCTCCAGCTGGCCTGAAACTCACTACATAGATAGACCAGGCTAGCCTCAAACTCACAGAGATCCACCTGACTGTCTCTGCCTCCTGAGTTCTGGGATTAAAGGCATGCTCCACCATGCCTGGCTTTTCAGACATTTTTTGAGACCAGGTCTCCCTATGTATACAGGCTGGCCTTAAACTCACTATGTTGCCCACCCTGCCCTCAAACTGATGGAAATCCTCTTGCCGTAGTGTCTCTAGTGCTAAAATTACAGGTATGAGTCACGATGCCTGGCTAAAAATTTGAAAAATCGAAAATTTCAAGAGAAATATATTTTATACTAAGTTTAAGTTAAGGATGAGAACTGAAATACAACATCTCAGTAAATTTAAACAATGTTTTATGAAAATTAATGGAAAAATTAGTTTTGAAATAGAAAAAATAAGTGAAATTTTCAAAATGCTATATTACAAAACACTTAAAATAGGCTTGTTAAAAACTTTAAGGACAGGATCTCATGTACCCCAGGCTGACCTCAAACTGACTATGTAGCTGAAGATGACCTTGAACTCCTGATCTTCCCGTCTCTACCTCCGAAGTACTAGGATTACAGGTATGTGACACCATGCCTGGGTTATTTACTTATTTAGGTTTCTGGGGTCTTTTTTTGTTTTGAGGTTTTTGGGTTTTTTTTTTGGTGGGGGGCTTGGGTGTGTGTGTCTGTATATGTGTGTGTTTAAGGCAAGTTTTAAAAACTAATAGGGGCTAGAATGTAATATATGTGTATAGAGACCCTCCTGCCTCTGCCTCTCGAGTGCTAGGACTAAAAGTGTGCACTACCATGCATGGCTACTTCTCTTCATTTTTAAAAAGGACATCATTTGCCAGGCATAAGTACCTCATGCCTATAATCCCAGCACTCAGGAGGCTGAGGTAGCAGTATCACTGTGAATTCAAGGTAGGCCTGCTTGGGCTACATGGTGAGTTCCAGTCCAGCATGAGTTACAGAATAAAACCCTGTCAAAAACAAACAAACCTATAAAAAAAACGCAATATATAAAAACTATATACATGTTTATGTGTGTATGTGTATGTAGAGATATATGAATGGCTGCTGGTAGTGGCCTAATTTTCTATGAACTGGACTTACTATGTTTAGAATGATAGAAATTCAAGATTTTTTTTAGCCCAGTTTACTTCTTTCAATAATGGTCTTATTATAAAACCAGATTCATATAAGGTTTAAATATATACACATAGATACATAATTAAAGGCAAAATGTTTGTTTTATATGTAGTAAACTACAGAAATATTTATTTTTATTTTATGTGTATGAGTATTTTGCCTCCATATACATGCACCTGTGTGCAATGCCCACAGAAGCCAGAAGAGGGCATCAGAACCCCTGGAACTGGAGTTATGGAGGACTGTTAGCTGCCATGTGGATGCTGGGAACTCCCAGGTCCTCTGCAAGAGGAGCCAGTGCTCTTAACCAATGCGTTATCTCTCCAGCCCCCAGAAATAAATTTCTAATGAATAACAGGAAAGTCTGCTATCTGGGGGTAGGGTAGTATGGAGAAGGATCTCCTAGCCCAAGCAGACCCTGAACTTGTGATTAATCTGCCTCAGCCTCCCAAGTGCTAGAATTTTAGACATATGCCACTATGCCTAGTTTACTATTTTTACAAATGCAAATTTGTAGCTAGCAAAATTATTTTTACTCCTAAATATTAATTGGAAAACATTATATAACATGCCAAATCAGTAGTCAAATTACACGTAAGACGCTTGTATGGCAGAATTTATTATTCGAGATTTTTTTAAACCCCCTTCTCAGTCTAAGAACAGGAATTATCAGTAATTTTGTTATTTCTGACACTTCCCTGGGATAACTGCCACAGGGTTTTATTACATGGTTATTCTGGCAGTTTCCCCAACTATGAATCCAAATTCATTGCCTGTATCTTTGGTAGATGAAACTTCTCTGATGAGTTCATAATACTCTTAGTCTAAATTCTACTCTGGAAGATTCCAATTTATCCCTTAGAGTGTCTTCCTTAGAGTCCTACCATACTGTGCATCTTGATCAAATTTCAATCCATTAGTTCTTAAAGTCTCAGGTAATTTAATATCAAACCCTTGCCTCTAGGTCAATTCAAGACAGCTTATTAGACCATTTCTATGAGGTGTCCTGTGTAATGATTTCTCCCGTTTTCCCCTCCAGTTAATGCTATTTTATCACTGCTCGTTCACTATCTTTTTTTTGTTGTTGTTAGCACAGTTTTTTTAAAGTGTTATAGTAAATATTAAACAAAGTACTAAGTAATGAATTTTAAGAGAATATTCTCTTCATACTCAAAAACTACTTTGAGAATTGTTTTCACAAAGCCCATCTCAGTGCTTTACTACATTTGGCTACTTTAAGAAACAAGGTCTCTCCCAATACTGCAGCTCAAGTTTTTCAGCTAGGCTGGCAGCCAATAAGCCCCAGGGACCTTCTTGTCTCTGCCCTTCTCAATTACGGGGTTACTTACAAGTGTGTGTGGGACCATGCCAGGCTTGCTACATGGGTGCTGGGAACTGAAATCTGGTTCTGATGCTTGTGCAGCAAGTGCTCTTAACCACTGAGTTTATGTGTGTGTGTGTGTGTGTGTGTGTGTGTGTGTGTGTGTGTGTGTGTGTGCGCGCGCGTGTGTATTCATATTCTTTTTTTAATTAAATAACCTGTATCCTGGAGGCTCTTACATGATTCACATGTCAATACAATGATGCTATAGTTAGTATACTTTGATTTAAAGAGTATTGAGAGGGCTGGGAATATAGTTCAGTTGGTAGAACACTTGTCTAGAATATACGAAGCATTAAGTTTTATTTCAGCACCACATTAAAACTGGATATGGTGATGCAAAACCTGCTTAATTGGAGCACTTAGGAGATGAAGGCAGGTTTGATCAAAAGTTTAAGGTTGGGGAGGCTGGAAAGATGGCTCAGTGGTTAAGAGCACTTTGCTCTTGCAAAGGACCTGAGTTCAATTCTCAGCACCCACATGGCACCTGAAAACCATCCACAACTCCAGTTCCAGGGGATCCAACACCCATTGCTGACCTCTGAAGTGCTGCACGACACAGGTGCACTTACATACATGTAGGCAATACACTCACACACATAAAATAATAAAATATTTTTAAAGTTTAAGGTTGAGGGCTGGAGAGAGATGGTTCAGTGGTTAAGAACACTGACTGCTCTTGCAGAGGACTTGGGTTCAGTTCCCATCACCCAAATGATGACTAACATCTGTAACTCCAGTTCCAGGAGATCTAGGGCCCTCTTCTGGTCTCCACATGCACTGTACACATGTGATGCACTTAAAGACATGTAGGCAACACACACACACACACACAAATACATACATACATACATACATACATACATACATTGATTAATTAATTAATTTTTTAAAAAAAGATTTAAGGTCATCATTTGGCTACAAAGCAAGTTCAAGGACAGCCTGGACCATATGAGACTTTGTCTCAAAAAAAAAAAAAAAAGGTATTCAGATTTTTATGGCAGTTTGAATGAGACCAAAACTAATTTTGAGCTCCACACTTACCTACTATCTGCCCTCGAACTGTATCATTGTCATTTGGCCCCAGTTTGCACAGATCCAACCTCTGATCTATTTCAAATAAAAATAAAATTAAAAAATTAACTGGCATCAGAAATTCTAACAACTATAGATGACAATAAATTTTTCACAAACCACTGGAAATCAGACCTATCTTTTTTTTTTTTTTTTTTTTTTGGGTTCAGTTCCCAGCACTCATGTGGCAGCTAACAACCATCTGTAACTCCAGTTCCAAGGGATTTGATGCCCTCTTTTGTCATCCATGGCATTGCATACATGAATGTGCTTACGTAAATGAAGGAAAAACACATAAAATAAACCCCAAAACAAAATTACTTACAACCAGTGTCTTTGAGGCGGTTGATAGCATTGGAAAGAAGACGAACACAACCAAGAAATCCAGCACCTTGTTTTTTATGGATCTTCTTGTGATTCCACACACTGATCGTAACTGAATCAGACTTTCCAATATACCTAAAAGATAAAACAGCCACATGAATAATTTGGTACTTATAAGTATTATAAAATTTTCATTCTTTTTAATATTCTAAAGTCATAAATAGATTTCAGAGCATGGCTAGAAGTAAAATGTTTTAAATTCAATCAGTCCAAAGTACTGAACTTAATTTTTTTAATTTAATATTTAAAAAATTCAAATACACCGTTTTTGCCACTCTCGGGTTGGACAAGAACTTTTAACTTTTTTAAAAAAAAAAGCTATTTTAGGGATTTGGAAATGTAGTTCAATGGTAGGGAGAACACTTGCCTAGCATGTGCCAGACCCAGAGTTTGAGCTTCAGCACAGCCAAAAGAAAAAAGAAAAAGAACAAGAATTAATAGCTGTCTAATAACACTAGGGTATTTTTAAATTACTTGCAAGAATAAAAATCGTAAAAGAACTTTTATGACAGTCATATTTTAATTACTACCTTAGAAAACATTTGGCTCACCTTCAAAGGGGCATTGTCAAGGCTGATAGACCAAAAATCTGACCTACCTGTTATATTTTTAAATGCTGCAGAACAAAAGCTGTTTGTAACGCTTTTCCCCTGCTTCTTTCCTATTTGCAGGCCTTGAGCGAGCAGGACTCTTGGAGATTTCACTTCACTGCCTGCAGACAAGCAGAGCAGGGAAAAGCGTTACTGTACTTGTCTGTGCGTGTGCCTGCAAGTATGTAAACGCTCCACCACAGCCAATTATTAACATGGCATTGAGTCATGCAAAAACATTTACTAACATAATCATATCAGTAGAACCTAACTTTACTTCAATGACTCTAGGAGGTAAAATTTTTGGTCCAGCAACCTTGATCTTAAACTATCATTCACGCACTAAAACAGAAATGAGGAACACAGAAGACTCACTTGGGTCCGTGAATCCAGATGTGCCTAAAGAATGTTCATCCTGAGCTTTGTGTCACTCAAGGTAATACATTCACTTTATAAAGCTATTAAAAAAAACAACTATGTGGGCTTTTTTTTTGAGGCAGGGTCTCACATAGCCCAATCTGGCCTTGAGCTCTCTATGTAACCTAGGATGACCTTGGACTTCTGATTCTCCTGCTTTTACCACCCAAGCGCTATGATTGTAGGCATGTGTCACCATGCTGGGGATCAGACTCAGGGCTCCATACACGCTAGAAAAGTACTCTACCAACTAAGCTACATTCCCAGCCCTGTTTTATTTGTAATTTTATTTTTATTTTGTGTGTATAGGTGTTTTGCCTACACATAGTGCACCTGTGTCATACAATGCCCAAGGAAGCCAGAACAGGGCGCTGGATCCCCCAGAACTAGAGTTTCAAACAATTGTTAGTCACCATGTGGGTGCTGGGAACTGAACCCAGATCCTCTCTGCAAGAGCAACCAGTACTCTCAACTGCTAAGTCACCTCTCCTGTGCCCACTGCCCACCCCAGTTTTGTTTTTTAGGCCCAGGCTGGCCTTTAACTGGCCTTCCGCTCCTCCTCCCAAGTGGTGGGATTACTGATCATACTTGGCTTTAAAATTAAGCTAATTTGAATTTGGTCTATGGCTTACAAATGAGATGATCTAAACTAAGCTATCATTCAGTAGTCATACACCAATTTTTTTTCATATCTTTTGAGACAGGGTCTCCCTGTAGTGGGTCTAGCTTTGCACTTACATCCGCCTGCCTGTGCCTCCCAAGTGCTAGGACTAAAGGTGTGCACCACCATGCCCAGCTCATACACCAATTTTAAAAACATCTACCAGGTCTATATATTGAAATGTACCTGTGGCATGCTATGTCGAGTAAACAGACCAAACATCCTAAAGCAAACAATTTTTTTTGTTTCCCAACTATAATCGTAGATTTGGTGTGTAGATATTCTAAAATTCTGACTCTTAAGTCCTCAGGGCAGCTTACCATTGTTTTAAGGAAAATTCATCTATTAGTGCAATGTACTAACTACCATATTCTTCATGTATACTATGATACAAAAAGGTTCAGATTTTTAAACTGTAATAATTTCCTAATTATGGGACTTCTGACAATATCTGTTAATTACTAAAAATAAGCCTTCTGACAACAGTCTGCTAATTACTAAAAATAACTAATTACATAACTACTAAAGTGTACATGTTTGTCACACAAACATTCTGAAAATGTATTTCCAGGTCAGAAATTAATTAGAAATATCAGCATTTCTTACATTTAGACAAGATTCTGTTTCCCATGGGGGGGGAATCCTTTTGTACCTATAAGTTAAATATATGTTTTACAACAGAGTCTTGCTATGTTGTGCAGACTGCGTGGGAACTTGCAATCCTCCTGCCTCAGCTTCCTGACTAACACACACCAGTGTACACACCTTGAAAGTTAAATAGAAAGCTTTATTCAGTTCTATTAAAACCTCAACTTCCTCAACAACTATGATTTATAAATAAATTTCAAGATATTCTAACAAGAGGGTTACCACTAAAAGAGAAGATAATATTCTTATATAGACCAAAGCATGATATATACAGTCAAGAGTTTTAGATAAATTTCACTGTTAGACCTTATAGACCTATACCCAACTTAATGCAAAGATTTGACAAAATGATCCAAAGTGTTATTCTGATCTCATCTGCTCTAATGTAACATCTTGAAACAAGTAAGACAGAACTTTCTAGGTGGTCAGTTAATAACTACAAAATAAAGCCTATCAAGTACATGAAAAGACATTCAACATCACTAGCCTTCAGGGAACATAAACCAAACCCACCAAGAAGGATAACTGTATTTAAAAATTATTTTATTATTTTTATTTTATGTGTATGAATGTATTATCTGCATATGCAGTATGTAAGTGCACCCATGTCAGGCAATGCCCACAGAGGTCAGAAGAGGGTGTCAGATCCCCTGGAACTGGAGTTAGAGACAGCTGTTAGCCACCATTTGGGTACTGGGAACCAAACCTAGGTCCTCTGCAAGAGCAGCCAGTGCGCTTAGCTGCTCAGCCATCACTCCAGCCCCTTTTTTAGTGTGGCGGGGGGGGGGGATATGCATGCACACCTGTGTACTAGTGCCCACAGGGCCAGAAGAGGGCATTGGATCCTCTGGAGCATGGTTGTGAGCCCTCCGATGTGTATGCTGGGAACTGAACTCTGGTCCTCTGTAAGACCAGCAAGTACTTTTAACTGCTGAGCCATCTCTCCAGCCCCATATAACTTTTAAATTTTTAATTATTTTTATTTCATTTTATTTGTGTGTGGCAAGATGTATGACATGTATGTGACTGTGTACACACATGTGCCATGGCATATATGTGAGGTCAGAAGACAACTTGTGGGAGTCAGTCCTCTCCTTTCACAATATGGATTCCAAGGATTGAACTTAATTCACCAGACTTGTGCAACAAATACTTTTACCCACTGAGACATCTCATCAGCCCAGGCATAATTTTTTTTAAAAAAGAAAAATTACAAGCTTCTTGAGGTTCCTTTTCTAGCTCACACTAGCCAGCTATTGCCCTGGGGAATACTCTTTTTCTTCCTTTATAAACTGTATTTCTATTATGAAAAAAAAAAAAAAAGGAAGAAAGAAAGGGAAAGAAAGGAGAGAAAAGGAAAGCAGGAAGGAGGGAAGGACAGAGAAAACACATTAACAACAGAAAACGCACTGGAATCTTCCATGTAGAAAACAAAAATCATGAAAGACCAAAATTAGGATGACAACAGCAATACTCTACATCTACATCTGTACTGTCCAAAATGTTAGCCACTCGCCACACAGAACTACTCAGTATTGCCAATGTGGCTAGCCCAAACTGAGGTGAAGTTTAAGTATAAAACCCTTGATTTCAAAGAAAAATAACCAGATGGGTCATGCCTATAATCTCAGTATTCAGAGGCTGAGGAAGGAGGATCTCAAGTTCAAGTCCAGCCTTGAAAAATGAGTACTTCTAAAAAGCCTATTATGAAAAAATTGAAAGTTATGGTGTAATACATTTTCCCTTTCAGTAAAATAAAGATATTAATTGGCTTCATTCTTTAAATGATTGATTGCCTGATTTGATTGACTGAGATACTGAGGATTTTACCCAGGGTTTCATGTATGGCAGACAAGGTGCTCTACCACTGAGCCAACATTCTCAGATCTTTTTTCATTTTTTTAAAACGTGTGTGTCTAACAATAATCCAAAGCACCTTTCCAGTGGATTTGGGTCCTCAAGTGTTAAGTTATAAGGCTTAGTCTATGGCAGGCCTATAATTCCAGCTACTTGGAAGGTTGAAGGAGGATGATTTCCAAGTTCAAGGCCTGCCTCAGCAACTTAGTGAGACTTATCTTAAAATACACACAAATAAAAAGGGGAGATACAGTTCAGTGGTAGAGTGCTTGCCTAGTATGCTTGAGACCCTAGGATTAATCTTAATACTGTGAAGGAAAAGACTAAAGTATTCTATTTACAAAACTCAGACCATTTTCCATGATTCTTTTAAAAGATGATACCAAATCACATTAATTCTGTGTTTCGTTTAAAATTAATTGTTATACCTACAGGTCGTAATGTTGATTCCACTTTGGATCAAGAGTATTCTTCACAGTATCTGTAGAATGGCATTGCCCAGAGCCATCAACTACCACCTTAGCAAATGGATCAGGAAGTCCTGTGAAAAAAGGGGAAGTATTTTAAATTAAATAATATTTTGAAATGCAAGATAAAAGATTGACTACATAAAGATTATCATTTGCTATAAAAGATTTTTCCATTCTTTCTTTTTTTTTTTTTTTTTTTTTTTTTTTTTTTTTTTTACAAAAAGAATACTACACAGGCATGGTGGCACATGCCTTTAGTAGACCAGGCTGGCCTTGAACTCACAGAAATCCACCTGCCTCTGCCTCCCAAGTGCTGGGATTAAAGGCGTGCACCACCATGCGCAGCCATTCTTTAATTCTTTTTCAAAAGTTTAACATTCAGCATCATAAACAAAAACATGGTCTATTTTAAATCAACCATTAAAATCACTTCCACTTTTAATATCCAAACTATGTTTTTTTCATGTTTCCCACTAAAGCAATCTCAGTTTTACACTATCAAAGTCCAGAGGTTATCTCTCTCTCTCTCTCTCTCTCTGTGTGTGTGTTTCTTTTTTTTTTTTTTTTTTTTGGTCTTTTTGAGACAGGGTCTCCCTGTAGCCCCAGCTGTTCTGGAACTCATTATGCAGACCAGGCTGGCCTCCCAAGTGCTGGGATTTAAAGGCGTGCAACACCACGCCTGGCTGTTATCTGTGTTCTTAAGGATTGCAACCAGCCCTTTAACCCTGGAAAGGTGAATGCTTAAACACTCCTGGTTCTCTTTCCCAATGACTCTCTCAGGAGCTCATGTAAAGAGTGTATTAAATGCACGTTTTTCTATAGAACATGAACTACAGAGAAGTCAAACTAACCAAAAACTGTTACTGAATAACTACTACAAGCAATGACTCAACAGAAAGTATAATCTTATGACAAAAATGGAGATAAAAATAGCATACATGGGGTGGGGGGGTTTACAAACAAATGCCTGGCTGAACTGACAAACAGCAATGGGCTAGGGACTACTCTGAATGCTGTATCTTTAACCTTCACAACCCTATGAGATAGGCAATTGCTACAATCCCTATTTTACTAATAAAAAAACTAAGTACAAAGGGGTTAAGCAACTAGCTCAATGCCACACAGTGGTAAGTGGCAAGGCCAGAGTCTAAAGTTTAGATTCTAAACTTATGCACACACAGGTTGGCTCTCAACCATTATGCTGTATGCTATAGTTTGATCTGGACTATTCCCTAAAGGCTCATGTGTTGAAAATTTGGTCTCTAATACAGCAGAGGTGGTTGGAAAAAGACTGGTTTGTGAGGGCTCTGACCTTATCAACAGATTAATCCATTCATGAGCTCATAGTATGACAGGCTATTTGGGGAGGTCCTGAGACCCTATTGAAGGAAGCAGGTCCTTGGGGGTATGCCCTTGGGTAATATGTCTTACTCCTGCCCCACTCCTTCTCATTCCCTCATCTCTGCTTTCCAGTTACCATGAGGTGAGCAGCTTTGCTCTACCATGTCCTCCCTGCCAGGATGTTCTACCTCACCAAAGATCCATACCAAAGGGGTCAGCTGAACATTAACTGGAAAGTTCTGAAACTGTGAGGCAAAAAGAAAAAAACTTTCCTCCTTTAAGTTCATTTTCTCAGGGTTGGAGATGGCTCAGTGGTTAAGAGCACTGGCTAATCTTGCAGAGGATGTACCTTTGGTTCTCAGCACCCACATGGCAGCTAACAACTGTTCGTAACTCCAGTTCCAGGGATCTGATGCCCTCTTCTGACCTCTGCTGGAATTGCACAACATGGGTGCACTTACATATATACACCCATACATATAAAATTAATAATTAAAATTATTAATTATGTATTAATACACCCATACATATAAAATTTTTAAATGTATTTTTTTCTTTTCTCTTTCAAAATTGGCTGTATATTTTTAGGTTTACTGTTGAATTAATACAGTTATACAATATTGTACTCAGT